GCTCTGCTGCCCAGGCTGGAGTGCAGTGGCACCACACCAGCTCACTGCAATCTCCGCCTCCTGGGTTCAAGCCATTCTCCTGCCTCAGCCTCCTGAGTAGCTGGGACTACAGGTGAACGCTACCACACCCAGCTAATGTTTATATTTTTAGTAGAGATGGGGTTTCACTATGTTGGTCAGGCTGGTCTCAGACTCCGGACCTCAAGTGATCTGTCTGCCTCAGCCTCCCAAAGTGCTGGGATTACAGGTGTGAGCCACCGTGCCTGGCCTTGTGTCATTTTTCCCATGTTTATTTGTGTAACTACCACTATGGTCGACACAGTACTGACCATCTCCACCAAGCTCCTCCTGTACTTCCTCCGTATGGTCAACTCACCTTCTCCCCCATCATCCCTGAACCCTGCAACCGCCAGTCTTTCTTCATGCCTATCATTGTGTCATTTTGAGACTGTTACATCAATGGAATCATACGCTACATGACTCATGTCCTTTCCCCTCAGCACAGTGTGCTTGATATCCAAGTTGCTGCTTGTGTCAATATTATTATTATTATTATTATTATTATTTGAGATGGAATCTCATTCTGTTGCCCAGGCTGGAGTGCAATGGCACGATCTCGGCTCACTGCAACCTCCACCTCCCGGAGACTGGAAGTAGCTGGGACTACAGGCATGTGCAACCATGCCTGGCTAATTTTTGTATTTTTAGTAGAGATGGGCTCACCATGTTGGCCAGGATGGCTTTGAACTCCTGACCTCAAGTGATCCGCTCGCCTTGGCCTCCCACGGTGCTGAGATTACAGGTGTAAGCCACCACGCTCAGCCTTGTGTCAATATTATTTAACTGCTGAATATTCCTGTCCCTTTCACCTTGCCTGTGTCATTACACTTCAAGTGAGATTTTGGTAGACATCAAATAATTGGGTCCTATTTTTTTTTAAATCCATTCTGTCAATCTGTTTTTTAATTGTTGTATTTAGAAAATTTATATTTAGTGTAATTATTGGTATGTTAGAGCTTACATCTGCCATTTTATTTTTTGTTTTCTGTTCTCTTTTTTTGTCTTTTTGTGGGATACTTGAACATTTTTTAGAATTCTATTTTGATTATTCATACTTTTTTTTCTTTTTTTTTGTCTTTTTGTGGGATACTTGAACATTTTTTAGAATTCTATTTTGATTATTCATACTTTTTTTTTTTTTGAGACAGAGTCTCACTCTGTTGCCTGGGCTGGAGTGCAGTGGCATGATCTCGGCTCACTACACCCTCCACCTCGCTGGGCTCAGGTGATCCTCCCACCTCAGTCTCCTGAGTAGCTGGGACTACAGGCATGCACCACCATGCCCGGTTAATTTTTGTATTTTTCGTAGAGACAAGGTTTTGCCATGTTGCCCAGGCTGGTCTCAGACTCCTGCGCTCAAGCAATCTGCCCACCTTGGCCTCCCAAAGTGTTGGGATTACAGGCATGAGCCACTGCTTACACCATACTATTTTTGAGTGTATCTTCCTGTATCACTTTTTTTTTTTCAAAAGGGGTTGCTCTAGATAGTATATTATATAATGTAGCTTATTGCAATCTATTGACGTTGACATTTTACCAGTTTGAGTGAAGTATAGAAACATTATCTCCTTTTACATCTGTGTCCCCTTCTTAATCTATAATTGCTTGAAATATTTCTTCTACATGTATTGAAAACCATGTCAGGTAGTGTTATAATTTTTGCTTCAGCCATCAAACATCAGTTACGAAATTCGAGAGGTTACTCTCTTTGTTATTCTTTCTTCCTTTCAGATATTCCAAAATTCCTTCTTTTCTTGTTTCCTTTCTGTTTAGAAAACGTCCTTTAGCCATTCTTTTAGGGTGTGTCTGCTGGTGACAAATTCCTTAACCTTCCTTCAGTGAAGAAGGTCCCAACTTCCTGTCACTTCTGAGGTTTTTTTTTTTTTTTGAGAAGGAGTCTCCTACTGTTGCCCAGGCTGGAGTGCAGTGGTCTGATCTCGGCTCACCGCAACCTCCACCACCTGTTCAATTGATTCTCCTGCCTCAGCCTCCTGAGTGGCTGGGATTACAGGCGGCCGCCACCATGCCCAGCTAATTTTTTGGATTTTAGTAGAGACAGGGTTTCACCATGTTGGCCATGTTGGTCTCGAACTCCTGACCTCGTGATGCACTCGCCTTGGCATCCCAAAGGGCTGGGATTATAGGTGTGAGCCACCGTGCCCAGCCGCTTCTAAGATTTTTTGTTTGTTTTTAGTTTTCGGAAGTTTAACTGTTATGTGTCTTAGCATGTATCTCTTTGGGTTTATCCTGCCTGGTGTTCACTCAGATTGTGGAGTGTGTAGGTTTATGTCTTTTTTGTCAAATATGGGAAATTTTGACCATACTTCTTTACATACATTTTTAGGATCACTGTCTTTTTCTTTTCCTTTGGGAAACTCTGAACATGAATGTATGATTTTTTGTTACAGTGCTGCAGGTCCCAGAGGTTATGTTTACTTTGTTGTTGTTTGTTTGTTTTCTCTCTGTTGTTCTTATTGGGCAATTTCTACTGTTCTGTCTTCCTGTTCCCGGCTTCTTTCCTCTGTCTCCTCCATCCTGCTGTTGGGTCCATCCATTGAGTTTTTATTTCAGTTACTGCATTTTTCAGTTCTAAAATTTGCATTTGGTATATCTTCTCTTTCTTTACTGGAAATTTATGTTTTTTTCATTTGTTTTGAGCATGTTCATGATTGCTTGTTGAAGCATTTCTAATGTGGCTGCTTTAAAATCATTTTCAGATAACTCGAACATCTGTGTCATCTTGGTGTTGGTGGCTGTCAGCCGTCTTTTCTCATCCTGGTTGAGATTTTCCTGGCTCTTGGTACAACTAATGATGTTTGATTGAAACCTTGATAGTTTAGATTTTGTGTTAAGAGACTCAAGATCTTGAGTTTTAGCTGGTCCCCTTGACATGTCTATGGTGAAGGAAGGAGTCCCCCCCGTCAGTGCCCCATGAAGGGTGAAGTCAAAGCCCCCTGCAGCCTCCACTGATCCACTGACACTTCCTGGGGAGGCTTCTTGTTACTGCTGAGGGTGAGAAGAGTTCCAGCCCACCATTAGGCCTCTGCTGCCTCCCCCATGGCTGGAAGGGGCAGGTGCCCGGTTTTTGCTGGGTGGGGGAACGTTGCGGCTTTCCACTGGACCTCCTCCGATGCCTCCACAGGGAGCAGGAAGGGCACCGCACTCCCTGGGTGACTGGTGCTGTGTCTTTGCAGGAAGGTGGTGTGTCAGTGTGGCTACACGCGTGAGCAGCACCTGGAGGAGGCTACCAAGCCCGACACCTTCCAGGGCACACGGTGGGACCCAAAGAAACATGTCCAGGAGATGCCAACAGATGCCTTTGGTGACATCGTCTTCACGGGCCTGAGCCAGGAGGTGAAGAAGGTTGGTTTCCATCACTCTTGCTCTGAATTGTGGGTGGAGCTGCATGGCCCCACAGTGACACGTGGTGGTTGGCATTTCCTGGAGCAAGAGCAGGAGGCTGGCAAAGATCCAGCGTGCATAGAGCCCACTGCACAGCAAAGGAGGGGGTGGGGAGGGGCTCTGCAAGGCAAGCAGGAGATGCATCCCACTCTCGGAGTGCTTGGTCATCTGCAAAGCAGTGTGGGGCACAGTGAGCTTTCTAGGAAGGTGCAAGCCGGGAGTGGTGAGTGAATTCTGGCTGGGTGGCCCTGGGTAGCATTTGTCAGGGCCTGCGGGCAAGTAGGGAGGAAGGAGAGGGATGTGGGACACAGACACACTCAGGGTGTGCTTGGGGAATGGCAGGAAGGGTGTGGAGAGGGAGGGAAAAGCAGGGGGAAGGGGCCCAGGATGGCAGGGAGGCCCATATGGCAAGTCTGGAAGCAAAGGCGAGAGTCCTTGCGAGGAGGCTGGGCCAGGCACAGCGTGATCCAGGCTGAGCCTGGCCTGCAGGAGAGTGCTGTGAGGGTGCAGACTGCTGGAGGGAGGCCCAGGCGCAGGGCTGGGTTCTCTCATGTACAACTTCACTGTGGTCCCTGGAGGACCAGCCATCTCTGACCAATTCTCAGGCCTCATCCCAGGCCTGTGGAGTCAGAGACTCGGCCCCTTGTGTGTTGACCAGCCTTCTGGAGGGTTCTGAGATAGCGATTGGGTGCCACTGTCCTGGGAGGGGGTGGCACTGATCTCTGTGCTGAGGTCTGGAGCCCTGAATCTGGTACCTGCCGAGTGTGACCTGTCCACTCGATGCGTGATGACGCCATGAGGTGACCAAAGAGGTTGAGTGGGGCAGGTCTCGGAGACGGGGTCGTGTGGCCCCCGGCTTCCTGGCTGGCCCAGCCCCTGAGCCACCCTGTGTCACCATCACATGTGGGTGTTCTCCAGGCCCCTGGGCCCCTCTGTCTCTGTGGTTACGGGAACAGTCCCGTTGTCGGGTTTCAGATGAGGGATTGAGGTATGGGCAGACCCCACCCGTTGCCCAAGGCCATGGTGGCAGTGCCAGTGGTGGGTTTGAGTCCAGCTGCGTCTGAGCCTGGAGTTCTGGCTGCATCCCTCCCCCACTCCCCGGCTTCTCCCAGCCCTGCAGCTGCCGACAGGGGCAGGTGGTGTGAGGGAAAAACGCCTGTGGTCTGACAGTGAGTGACAGCTGGGACACAGACCCTGTGGTGCAGCAGGTCTGGCTCGAAGCCCAGGAGCGTCCACCATGCAGGTCACAGCCCTGCTCCTCCCAGGGAGACCAGCACCTCCAGATGCCTGGTGGACCCGGTGGGGCCCACGTTCTGATGGTGACAGGCACCGTGGTTGTGGGTTAACTGGACCTTCTTTAGTGACAATGCTACCACATGTTTGTTTTAAGGGCACCTCATGGCATTTCTGGATTTCACCCATCACCTTTGTGTCTCTGGTGGGCCAATCCCGGCGGGGGTTGCTGGCCCGTCTGGGTCTCTTCAGACACGGCCCACCTAGCGGAACAGGGGAAGTCCACTGTGTACTCGTGAGGGTCTCCTGGAGCACGAGGGGCCAGAGTGACGACAGAGCCTGGGAGAGCCATGTTCAGACGGGAGGCACAGGAAGCTGGGCCCCCTGAATCCCCAGGATGGGCCAGGGCGTAGGGGCCACAGAGCAGAGGGGACAGGAAAGGGGACAGAAGAGGGGCAGTGCTGGGCGCACAAGGACAGGAGGGCAGAGACCCCAGTGCAGGAGATGGTTAGGCCCTGGGAAGGCAGGGCCCAGGGCTAGGGTGGGAATTAGAGTCTGCTGGTGCGTGTCTGAGAGGCGCTCCCAAAATCGAGAGGAAGAGGAAAAAGTGGGTGCCGTAGGGGCATGAGGGCCGGGGGAGGTTTGCTGAGGGCGTTTCTGGTCCCCAAGGGACGGCCTGTTGCTCCCGGCTTGGGCCTCTCTGCCTCCCTCTTCTCTCATGATCCGTGCCTTGCCCACACGGGGACCCCTTTACTGGGTCTGAGCCGGAAAGGTGTGCGGTGTCTGCCGCCCACTGGGGCCTCTCCGTGTGGCCTGTGTGGGTCGGTGCTGTCCCTGCCCACTGATACACGGGTTCCCTCCGCCATCTTCCCTGTCCCGCAGTATGTTAGAGTCTCCCAGGACACGCCCTCCAGCACGATCTACCACCTCATGACCCAGCACTGGGGGCTGGACGTCCCCAACCTCCTGATCTCAGTGACCGGGGGGGCCAAGAACTTCAACATGAAGCCGCGGCTGAAGAGCATTTTCCGCAGAGGCCTGGTCAAGGTGGCTCAGACCACAGGTAATTCGGAGGCTGGAGGGACACGAGGCCCCGGCGGGTGGGCAGGGTGGGCTGTGGAGGCTGTGCCAGGGCAGTCAGGGCCATCAGGATCCAAAAAGTCCCTAGGAGCCGCCGAGGCCATGCCCCAGCCTGAGTTGGACCTGTACACCCCTCACCTAGGCACAGCTGCTCCCTGACACCTGGCGCTGCCCCTGGCTTGCCCATGGGCTGGAGATGGCTCAGTGCGTGGCCCCGCTGGTGCCCAGGGCCAACCAGAGATGAAAACCTCAGTGGCCTGGGAACCTCGGTGGCCTGGGTGCACGGCTGGGGCCAGCGTTGCGGGACAGTTGTAGGGGGCCAGCGAGAGTTCCCGGTCATCACATTTTCCATGATCACTTTTTTCCATCAGCATCAGGCAAGGAGCATTATTATTTCCATCTTTTCACTTGAGGCAACTGCCTGGTTGGAGTCAAATCACCTCCCAATTTTGCACCACCAGTGAGAGCCAGGCAGGGACCCAGTCCTGGTGGATGGTGTGAGATCCCAGGGGCCCTGACCTGGTGCCCTGCCCTACCCTGATTCCATTGTGGAGGGGACCCCAAGTCCTCGAGGCTCCCTGGGCCTCTCTGGAGGGGACTGGGTGAATAGTGAGGCCCTGAGGTGATTACTTGGCAATGTTGGGTCCAGATGGGCCTGGGGTCACCTCGCTTTTCCTGGGCTGTGGTCTTTGCCTCCAAGTGGAGTCATAACTGAGCCTGACTTGGCCTGCGTGGCTCAGAGTCCTCGGTTTGTCTGCCTGGTGACCGTGGGGCATGGCTGCATCTTTTGACCTGTGAGCCCCACAGCCCTGCTTGTAAAATGACCAGACCTTTTCTCAGTCTGGTCACGTGGGACTAGGTTTAACGCAGGTCACCGTTCCACAAGCACTGTCTGATGCTTCACCCTCTTAAATAACGCCATGGATTTCTTCGGGTCTCACCCACTCCAGGTCTTCATGTTGCATTTTTTTAGCTTTCAATATCAGTGACCTTGCCGTCTGCTTCCTGGCCCAAAGCTAGTACCAGCTTTTCAACTGTTATCTCTATCTCCATCTCCATCTCCATCCGTTTATTTTTGAGACAGGGTATCGCTCTGTTCCCCAGGCTGGAGTGCAGCGGCACGATTTCAGCTTACTGTAGCCTAGACCTCTTGGGCTCAGGTGATCCTCCTGCCCCTGCCTCCCGAGTTGCTGGGACTAGAGGCATATGCCACCATGCCAGGCTAATTTTTGTAGAGACAAGGTCTATGTTGTCCAGGCTGATCTTGAACTCCTGGGCTCAAGCAATCTTCCTGCCTTGACCTCAGCTCATGCTGAGATAACAGGCATGAGCCACCGTGCCTGGCTGATTGGCTGGGTTTTTTTTTTTTTTTTTTTTTGGGACGGAGTCTCGCTCTGTCGCCCAGACTGGAGTGCAGTGGCGCAATCTCGGCTCACTGCAAGCTCCGCCTCCCGGGTTCACGCCATTCTCCTGCCTCAGCCTCCCAAGGAGCTGGGACTGCAGGCGCGTGCTACCACACCCAGCTAATTTTTGCATTTTTAGTAGAGACGGGGTTTCACCATGTTGGTCAGGCTGGTCTCAGACTCCTGACCTCAGGTGATCTGCCCACCTTGGCCTCCCAAAGTGCTGGGATTACAGGCCTGAGCCACTGCGCCTGGCCCAATTGTTGTTTTTATGGTGACACTGTGACCCAGCCTTTGGTATGGCAGCATTATACCAGGGACAAATCCCAAAAACGAACAAATGTGACTTTCGCTGGTGCCTCAAGGGGAGGTTGTGGGGCAGCAGCTGTGGCCTCACCTGTGCCTCTCACCCCGGGGCAGGCCAGGTGAGCAGACACCTGGGGACCTCCTGCTGTCAGGCAAAGCTGCCACCAGCTCATGACACTGGGTCAGACCAGATGTGGGGTGGAAGGTGTGTTTCTTTCTTTCTTTTTTTTTTTTGAGATGGCGTTTCACTCTTACTGCCCAGGCTGGAGTGCAGTGGCGTAATCTTGGCTCACTGCAACCTCTGCCTCCCGGGTTCAAGTGATTCTCCTGCCTCAGCCTCCCGAGTAGCTGGGATTACAGGCGCGTGCCACCACACTGGGCTAATTTTGTATTTTTAGTAGAGAGGGGGTTTCTCCATGTTGGTCAGGCTGGTCTCGAACTCCCAACCTCAGATGATCCGACTGCCTCGGCCTCCCAAAGTGTTGGGATTACAGGTGTGAGCCACCATGCCCGGCCGGAGGTGTGTTTCTTACAGGGTTGGCTGCAAACCTCTGGCAGCAGGTGGTGGGTGGGAAGTGGAGGGAGTCCTTCCTAGGGGCCAGGCTGAGTGGTGTGAGCAAGGACGCACTCTGCCGCACCTGGGTCCTGAAAGCTGGGAGGAAGAAGGAAAGCAAAATAGAAGAATGCAGAGAGCGTGCTGAGAACCGGGATCCTGAGTCTGGGGCCAGAGGAGGTGGCAGGGACCAGGGAGAGGGGTGGGGCCTGCTCCTGTTCCCACCCTGCCTGAGGGCCGTGGGAACCCCAGTTCCTTACACCTGATGCTGGTTTAAAAGCCCCTGAGTGAGGGGCTCTGTGTTGATGGGGGCCAGGCATCAGGCTCCTGGGTATCAGGGTGCCCCTCAGTACTGCGGGGCCTGCCCACCCGTGCTGCTTCCCCAGGGGCCTGGATCATCACGGGGGGCTCCCACGCCGGCGTCATGAAGCAGGTGGGTGAGGCGGTGCGGGACTTCAGCCTGAGCAGCAGCTACAAGGAAGGTGAGGTCATCACCATTGGAGTCGCCACCTGGGGCACCGTCCACCGCCGCGAGGGCCTGATCCATCCCACGGTGAGCGCGGCCCCCTAGGAAGGGGAGCCTAGGACCAGGGGTGTGGGTGACGTGTGACCGGGTGCTGTAGGGGGCAGGTGGAGTGTGCAGGGGCCGGGGTGTGGGTGACGTCTGATGGGGCGCTGTAGGGAGCAGGTGGGGTGTGCAGGGACGGCAGGCGCACTCAGGAGATTGGGCGCAACTCCTGGCCCAGTCCCTGACCCAGTGACCTGGATGAATGGCTAACTTGGCTGGACTCTGGTATCTCCCTCAAGGTTGTAAGAGGGATCCACATGAGAGTCACCGGCTGTGAGGGCTCCGCTAACAGCAGAGGGAGGGAGCGTGGCCGGCGGGCAGCTGGGCAGGGCTGAGCCAGGGCGATCTGACCCCGAACTGGAGCTTTTAGCGCTTTGAGTCCCTGCACTCAGAGGTCTCCTGCATCCAGGAATCCCACCGTGCTGCGGTCCCCGGCAGCCAGGACCCACCCCCAGCTTCTCTGTCAAAGTTGAGGATGGAGCACTCCTGCCTCTGGTTAACTGGCCGCAGGAGAAGCAGTTGCCTTAATCCAGAGCCTTGAGTTGGGACAGATAATGAGTCATTCAACCAGATTTTCCAAGGACACTAACTTTGGCATAATGCGTGTGTGCCCCTGAATCCGCGTGGTCAGGAAAGCCCCCAAACACTGGCCTGTGACTCACTGAGCAGGTTCCCTCATCACCCCAAGGGGTGATTTACTCCTCTGGCAACATCACAGACACTGTGTGTCCATTCCTGGAGGCGGGGGACACTCCCAGATGCCCACAAGGGCCCAGCAAGCACTGGCCAGCCGCAGCCCGGCCTTCACCTTCCTTTTGCGTCAGAATCATGAATGTGTCTGGTGGGGTCTGACTGGACTGGCTGTTTGGCTTTGCTTGCTCTTTTTATGAATTGAAAAACTGAAGCCAGGAGCGGCTGGGTGATGTCGCAGGTCACTCCTTACTTTCCTCCCCACGCTGAGTTCAGACGACTTCCCGTGACACCACCGTTGCTGGTGTTGTTGGAGGAATGGGACTGTGGCTGCTTCCGCTTAGCCGCGCTCCCTCTCTGTGGACGGCGGAGGGTGTCCCAGCCCCGCTGCCACCCTGCCTTGGATCTGTCTCCCGGGGCTGCTGTAACCCAGGCTCACAAACCTGGCGGCTTAAAGCAGCAGAAACTTAGTCTATCAGATCTGGAATCCGCGTCGCTTGGCCATCATCCAGCCAATGATGTCGGCGGGGCCACCTCCCTCCAGGGCCTGGGGAAGAGTTCCCGCTGCCTCCAGTGTCTGGGTGCTGATGGGCATCCTCTGGCTGGTGGCCACCTCCCTCCAGTCTCTGCCTCCACATCCCGTGGCCTTCTCTGTGTGCCTGTGTGAAATCTCCCCATGTCTCCCATAAGAACATTTGTGATGGTGTTGAGGTCCCACTGGGGTCATCTAGGGTGATGCCTTCATATCAAGATCTTTAACTGACATCTGCAAAGATGCTTTTCCAAACAGGGAAATGAGGAGCAGCACTTACCGGGTCCATGAGCAGGCCTTGATGTCTTTGGGTGGCCGTGATTCAGCCAACTGTGGTCCTCCCTCTGGCCTCAGACTCCTGTCCACTCCACATGCAAAATATGTTCACCCCATTGCCAGATCCTGGCCGGGCATGGGGGCTTACGCTTGTCATCCCAGCACTTTGGGAGGCTGAGGTGGGCGGATCACTTGAGGACGAGAGTTCAAGACCAGCTTGGCCAACATGGTGAAACCCTGTCTTTACTAAAAATACAAAAATTAGCTGGGCATAGTGGCAGGCACCTGTAATCCCAGCTGAGGCAGGAGAATTGCTTGAACCCAGGAGCCGGAGGTGGCAGTGAGCCAAGATCATGCCACTGTACTCTAGCCGGGCTGACAGAGCAAGACTCTGTCCAAACCAAACCAAATGATCCCCTCCAACTACCAACCCGTTACAGCAGAAACTCCAAGATCAAAATCTCATGTAAATATCATGAGCTCGGCCAGGCACGGTGGCTCACACCTGTCATTCCAGCACTTTGGGAGGCCAAGGCGGGCAGATCACCTGAGCACAGGAGCTCGAGACCAGCCTGGCCAACATGGAGAAACCTGGTCTCAACAAAAAATTAGCCAGGCATGGTGGTGGGCGCCTGTAATCCCAGCTACTGGGAGGCCGAGGCAGGAGGATCGCTTGAACCCGGGAGGCGGAGGTTGCAGCGAGCCAAGATTGTGCCACTGCACTCCAGCCTGGATGACAGAGCGAGACACCATCTCAAGCAAAACAAAACAAAACAAACAAAAATATCAGCTCAAAAGTCCCAAATGTCATCATTTAAGTCAGGGATGCTGAAGACTCTGGGTCTGATCCATCCTGGAGCAGATTTTCTCTTCACGTGTGCACCTGTGAGAGGAGACAACAAGTCACCTGTCTCCAAAATACAAGGGAACAGCAGGGAAGGGCAGGTATAGCATCACAACTGTAGACACTCTCATTCCCAAAGGGGGAACACGGGAGGAACCAAGGCATCACCAGCCCCAGGCAATTCCAAAACCCAGCAGGGGGAATGCACTAGGTGGTGAGACTGGGGAGACCCCTCTGTGGCTTGGGCACCCCCCACCCTGCTCTGTGTCCACAGCTCTGCCTTCAGCACGATCCTTTTCCCTGAAGGTTATAGGTTATTTCCTGCTTGAAGATTTTAAGGAGTCTGACAACCTTTCATTTTATCCCACCTCTGTCCCTTTCAGTCCAAATTTGCAGTGTTGTTGTTGATGTAACATTTGTGAAAACTTTGTGTGCCTCCTTTGAATGCCATAGGAATTTCTGCCAGTAGACAAAAAGGGCTCTGCTGACCTTTCCTGTGATGCCGTCTCCACTCCTGTCTTCTGAGATGGTTGAGTGAATCGCAGTCTCCTTGCCTAGTCTCTTCGTCACTAGCAGGGGGTTGTGCAGGCACACCCTTGTCCCTCTCTCTCTCTTTTTTTTTTTTTTTTTGAGACAGAGTCTTACTCTATCGCCCAGGCTGGAGTGCAGTGGCACGATCTCAGCCCACTGCAACCTCTGCCTCCCGGGTTCAAGCGATTCTCCTGCCTCAGCCTCCCGAGTAGCTGGGACTACAGGCACCCACCACCACGCCCAGCTAATTTTTGTTTTTTTACTAGAGACAGGATTTCACCATGTTGGCCAGGCTGATCTTGAACTCCTGACCTTGTGATCTGCCTGCCTCAGCCTCCAAAGTGCTGGGATTCCAGGTGTGAGCCACCGTGCCTGGCCCATGTATGTATTTTCTAAGGCAGCAGTCCCCAACCTTTTTGACACCAGGGACTGGTTTCATGGAAGACAATTTTTGCACAGATGGGGGCGGGGTGGTGAGTGGTTGGTTTGGGGATGATTCAAACACATTACGTTTATCGTGCACTTTATTTCTATTATTATATATAATGAAGTAATCATACAACTCACCATCATGTAGGATCAGTGGGAGTCCTGAGCTTGTTTTCCTGCAGCTAGACGGTCCCATCATCTGGGGGTGATGGAGGACAGTGACAGATCATCATGCATTAGATTTTCTTAGGGACACACAGCCTAGGTCCCTCACACGCACAGTTCACAGTAAGGTTAGTATTCCCATGAGAATCTAATGCTGCGGATCTGACAGGAGGTGGAGCTCGGGCAGTCACACACACGATAGGGAGCGGCTGTAAATAGGGATGAAGCTTCGCTCGTTCACTCGCCACCCACCTCCTGTGCACAGCCCAGCTCCTCACAGGCCACCGACCGTTACCAGTCCATGGCCCAGGGGGTGGGGACCCCTGCTCTAAGGTAACAAAACCCTCCCTGCCCTGCTCCTTGCTTCCTTCGGAGCCCTTACTGCAAGTTGTTTTTTTTCTGAGACAGGGTCTCACTGTTGCCCAGGCTGGGGTGCGTTGCTGCGATCCTCAGCCTTGAGCCCCTGGGCTCAAGTGATCTGCCCACCTCAGCCTCCCAAGTAGCTGGGACTACAGGTGTGCGCCACCATGCCCGGCTAATTTTTTTTATTTTTGTAGACATGAGATCTGCCATGTTGTCCAGGCTGGTCTCGAACTGGGGCTCAGGTGATCCTCCCGCCTCGGCCTCCCAAAGTGGATTACAGGCGTGAGCCACTGTGCCCGTCTCTGCAAGGCTTTTAACACCGCATTCCCACCAATATTCTCTTCAAGGACATTGAGACGTTTTCTATTCATGGTGCTTCAAAATCCTGCCATCTTCTCCCCATTGCCAGTTTCAATGCCACTTCCACATTTTTAGGTGCTTGTTACAGCAGCACCCCACTTCCTCACCCCAGACCTGTATCTGTTTCCTGTGGCTGCTGTAACAAATGGCCACAAGCCTGAAACGGCAGCATTGTGGTCTCTCACGTGTCTGGAGGACAGAACTCTGAAGTCAGGGTCACACCCCTCCTGAGGCCTGGGAGGAGGGTCTGTTTCCCTGCCTTCTCCACTCCTGGGGGCTCCGGCTTTCTCCACTTGTGGCTGTGTCGCTCATCCCTGCCTCTGTGGTCCCGCGTCCTCCTCTCCTGTGTGTCTCCCACCACCTCTCTCCTGTAAGGACACCTGTGATGGTATTTTGGGCCCACTCAGATCATCCTGGTTAATCTTCTCATGTTTCGATCACATCTGCAAAGTCACTTTCTCCAATAAGGCCACATCCACAGATTCCAGAGACTGGGACCTGGTCTCTCTGGGGGCTGGTGTTCAGCCTGCTCACGTTAGAGAGGCAGAGCTTTCCAGAAGCTGTGTCTGACGCTTCCTGGCCATTCCAGGGCAGCTTCCCTGCTGAGTACATACTGGATGAGGACGGCCAAGGGAACCTGACCTGCCTAGACAGCAACCACTCTCACTTCATCCTCGTGGACGACGGGACCCACGGCCAGTATGGGGTGGAGATTCCTCTGAGGACCAGGCTGGAGAAGTTCATATCGGAGCAGACCAAGGAAAGAGGAGGTAGGGGAGCTTGCTTTCAAGAGTGCTTGGGCAGATAGCACAGTGGGCCGGTCAGAGCCCGTTTCAGCCAGTGGGAGGGCGGTCGGGGGGGCTGGCAGCTCACCTGTGTGCTCACAGGTAATAGGCCAGCCTACTTTTTTTTTTTTTTTTTTTTTTTTTTGAGACAGGGTCTGGAGTGCAGTGGTGTGATCTCAGCTCACTGTAGCCTCGAACTTCTGGGCTCAAGGGCTCCTCCCACCACCTTCCCAAAGTGCTGGGATTACAAAGCTTGAACCACTGTGCCTGGTCCTACAATTATTTTAAACCGTGACCATGGTCTGGTCTCAGGTTCAGAAATCAGAATGTACGATAGTGAAAACTTAGGATTTGACACCTTTTTCCTCATAGGTGGGATGGGATGGGTTTGAGGACGTCGGGAGGATTTGACACCTTTTGCCTCATAGGTGGGATGGGATGGGTTTGAGGACGTCGGGAGGTCAAGTGTGGGGTTTTGCCCGTCACTCGAGGAGGGCTCAAAGAGGCAATGGTGAATGGGAGGTGTCTGGCCTGTGCCCCGGTGGGCTGGGGTCCCCTGCAAGCTTCCTTGTGCAGCAGACTCCCCTGGAGGGCTCCTCACCAGTGCGTGGGCCCCGGCCCCAGGGTCCAACTCAGCAGCTCCAGGTGGGCTGAGAACCTGCATTAGGAGCACGTTCCCTGGTGGGGGTGATGTTGAGGTTCAGGGACCCCGCTTTGAGAACCCTGCTTGACTAGGACACCCAGGGTGGGATGTGTGGGTGAGTGTGTGAAGGCGATGGGCCCATGGGGTCTCATAGACAGAGTTTGCTGCCTGGGGAAAAAGGTTGCTAAGTCCTTCTCAGGCTCCCCTGCTGTTGGGCTGGATGGAGTTCAGGGTGGGGCCGGGCAGAGGGACAAAGGATGGACATGTCGTGTTCTCCCACCTACACGTGACAGGTTATGCCCACCTGCTTGGGACGTCAGCTCTGATTGTCCCTCCCTCCCTCCTTCCCTCCCTCCCAAGAAAGCAAGAGGGGGTGGATGGGATGCAAGCGAGCGGGGGAGGTGTGGGCGGCAGGGGGCTCTCGAGTCTGCTCATCGATGTGGAACAGGTGGGTCCCCTGGTAATGTGGAGCTTTGAACTTCAACGGCAACTCAGCACTGGCTAGAGGTCTCCCAGCAGGTGCTTCAGTGTGTGGTTAGGCTGGAGTCTGCAGGGGGCAGGGGAGAGTGCCCCAGTGCAGGGTCTTGCCCCCCACCCACCTCTGTCCCCTCACTCGGCTCTGTGCTTTGTTTAGGTGTGGTCCTTACTCGGCTCTGTGCTTTTTCTAGGTGTGGCCATCAAGATCCCCATCGTGTGTGTGGTGCTGGAGGGCGGCCCGGGCACGTTGCAGGTGAGCATGGCTGGGTGGGAGGGGGTAGGTGTGGGCCTGTCCCGCTGCAGGCAGATGACTGTCCAGAGGTGCTTGTCTCAGCACTCAAGACTGTTGGCAAGAGAGAGCGATGAGCTTGCCCACCAGGAGACGAGAAAGAGCGTCTGTCCTGTGACAGGGCTGCTTCCGGGTGGGCGGAGGACAGGTCGGAGGAAGGTGCCTGGGGGAGGAAGCTGGGCTTGGCTGTGACCAGGCCATTGACCGGCATGGAAGGAAAGGATGGGGTCCCAGGGCCTGGAGCGAGTGGGGAGCCTCTGCTCCCGGGACCTGCCGGGGAGGCTGGGGAGTTTCTGCAGCTCTGCCCCCAAGATTCCTCCAGGAAGCATTTTTCTTTTTTTTTTTTTTTGAGACGGAGTCTCGCTTTGTCACCCAGGTTGGAGTGCAGTGGCGCGATCTCGGCTCACTGCAAGCTCCGCCTCCCGGGTTTACGCCATTCTCCTGCCTCAGCCTCCGAGTAGCTGGGACTACAGGTGCCGCCACCACGCCCGGCTAATTTTTTGTATTTTTAGTAGAGACGGGGTTTCACTGTGTTAGCCAGGATGGTCTCGATCTCCTGACCTCGTGATCCACCCGCCTCGGCCTCCCAAAGTGCTGGGATTACAGGCGTGAGCCACCGCGCCCGGCAAAGGAAGCATTTTTCAAAGTACAGGGCCACGGCCCCCATCCCAGATCTGTGGTGCCAGCAGCTGTGTGACTGTGGATTTGGCATGCGGCCTGAATGCGCTGTTCTGCTGGCCTTCCTTCCTGACCTGAATCCTAACCGCTTTGTGACGTGCAGGGTGCGAGGCGACCTCACCTGCTGTAGGAACGTATGAGGACATATAGCTTGCGGATCTGGACCAAGAGTGTGGGCTTTTGTGAAGGATGGAATCATAGGCAGTGTCCCATTTATGTTTCATGATTGCAGGAGGTCAAAACAGAGCCTTGGGGGCTTAAGGCTGGACAGGAATCCATAGAGCACTGGGTCCTCACTCCCTACGCATGCCAAGTACCCTTCACGCTCTCCTGCTGGGGCGGCTACACCCGCCTCCTTACCCCAGGCAGATGCTCATACACATAGCAGGGTCCTTTCTGCCAGACGGCCTTGTGGCCAGTCCCTTCCCGAAGTCCAGCACCCCCTGGAGCCCGGGGGCCCTCCTCATTGCCCTGCTCTTACTGTGGGCTTTTATGAGGTTGGTAACTCCAGGTCTATGCAGCGTCCCCTTTGCTGCGAGGCCCTCAGGTCTGCAGGTCCATAGGCAAAAATGCTGAGAGCCTTTGATTCTGCTGGTGCTGAGGCCTGAGAGGCGCCAGGTGTGCAGCCCCCAGTGTGTCGGGGCAGCTCCCTCTTCCCCCAGAGCAGGGGATGCCACCAAACTGATAAGTGCTTTCAGTGGATCTTGGAGTAGTGTTAGCCCAGCCCTTCTCTTAGCTGGCCTTGGAGAATTCTCCGTTCAGAAAGCGTTGGAGCGAGGTGAGGACCCAGTCCTGGGCTCACGCCCCCGCCTGCCTTGCAGACCATCTACAACGCCACCACCAACGGCACCCCTTGCGTAGTTGTGGAGGGCTCGGGCCGCGTGGCCGACGTCATTGCCCAGGTGGCCAACCTGCCTGTCTCGGACATCACTGTCTCCCTGATCCAGCAGAAACTGAGCGTGTTCTTCCAGGAGATGTTTGAGACCTTCACGGAAAGCAGGATTGTCGAGTGGACCAAAAAGGTGAGGCTGACGGGCACGATGGTCACCGGCATGTGGCTGCTTCACAGAGACACCGTCAGCCTGGTGGGCAGCACCAGGACTCACGGATCGATGCGGAGAACCCACCGGGTCTGAGCGGGTGCCAGAGCGATTTGCAGAGGGCAGGGCGCAGGTGGCAAGCCTCCTGGCTGGGTTCCGGAGGTCAGATCCCGTGACAGCACGTGAAAGGAGGGTGTGAACCTCACCGGCAGCACAGCAGGGCGGGCTGGGAACACTGCCAGGCTCATGGTGCTGTGAAAAGAGTCTGCTGGATTGGAGGGGTGGGCGGCAGGCGTTGGGGAGGCCTCAGCCGAGTTGGGCAGCAGGGCAGCTGCTGAGTAATGGCTGTGGGTCGCAGGGTCAGTCCAGCTCATAGCCTCATGGGTGAGTTAATGGAGGCACGTAGAGTGGCCTCAGGAGGGGCCATTGCCCCCAGTCCAGGGGTAGATTTTGGGTGGCCCCTGCCATGACCCCAGCCTCCAGAGGGGGTTAGTTGTGAAGGGCCGTGGTTGGTCAGCCCTGACCACCTCACAAAGCCCTTGACCAGGGGGGCAGGCTCCAGTGGAGAGTCCCTGCCCTCCCTGTACCTGCTGGTTCCAGGGTCATCTGACTCAGTCCCTGGAGGATTCTTGGCGGGGGCTGGCACTGGGGCCTTTTCATCCTGTTTCCCAGCAAGCCAGGGCCGGCAGAGCCCTCAGTCTGTGTCTTTCCTGCAGAGCCTGGACATCCCCAGGTTCTGAGTGGCTGACATGCACTTTCCACGGCTCCCGCTGTGTTTAATTTGGGCTCTGTGGGCAGTGGTGGCCCCTAGCTGCAGGCCACAGGGACACGTGTATTTGGCCAGATTGGGCCTGTGGAGAATGGATTAAAAACGTGCACCCTCAGGAACCACGGGTATCGGAAGGGCTGGGTGGAGGTCTTGGCCCCGTTGGCCCGTCTAGAAGCAGTTTCCATGACTGGTGATTTGTGGGTGGCACAGCGACCTTGTTTTCTTCTGTGGTTTGTGATGGTCTCAGAGTGACCTCCTTCTGCACGGATGTCTTCTGAGAGCGTGTTTGCCCGGCAGGAGAATAACATGATGTAGCTGCAAGCGTCAGATCAGTCTGTGAAAGCATCACGGTCCGGCTGTGAGCGGCCGCTCAGCTCCCAACGTCAGGGCGGCTTTCCTTCCTTCCCGGTGCCACTGGGACTTGTCAGGCAGGCCCTGGAGCCCTTTCTCTGCCGGTTGATAAATTATTCAGGCAATTTTCAGAACTGAGTTTAATCAGCTGTTGTTGAAAGGTGTTTATTTTTAATGCACTCTCCATAGCCAAGCCAAGGCCCTGAAAGTGGTGCTTTCACATGGAGCCGTCAGGCCTCAGCAGGGGCTCGGCTTTTCACTGACGCTCCTGCTCAGTGGGGAGAGGCTGAGCCACATAGCTGGGGTCAGCGCGCTCCCTTAACACGCCTTCTGGGAGTGTCTGTCTACACACTGGAGGAGTTGCAGACCCATCCTGGAGTGAGTGCTGCCTCTGGTGGGCGGCCCCATCAGAGGGGCCCTGGGGCCTCCCTGCAAGGTCTGACAGCTGTGGCCAGGAAGAAGTTGTCCACCCTTGCTCAGCCTCGCCTTTCTCATCTATCAAGTAGGGGTACTGAGTGTTCACTCAGACGAGGAAACAGGCCCTGTGTCCGTATGGGCTCGGACGCTGGGAGCTGCTTGACCGTATGAGGACAGGGTGGGCTGAAGGCTGGAGACTTTTATGGGCTCAGACGCTGGGAGCTGTTTTGCCATGTGAGGACGGGGGCTGAAAGCCAGGAGACCTTTGGCTGCTGGAAGAGGGTGGAGTTCGCCAGGGAGTCCAGGATGTGTTTTGAAGTTGTCACGAAAGCTGGACCCCCAGGGATGGGGCACCGTTGGGGTCTTAGGCATGGAGGTGGAGTGTGAGGAGCCCTCCAGGTGAGGGCAGAGTCTGTGTGGAAGCAATGAGGCCAGGCTGGGGACGAGGAGAGAAGCAGAAGAGGCCAGGCGTGGCCAGCCTTGGGAGCAGTGGGAGCCATGGGAAGATGCGTTTGTGGAGTTGCCTGCCCTGGACACAGGGGGAAGGTGCTTCAAGGAGGAATAACTGTAGCAGACATACCTGCTAGGGACACCATGATGGATGGATGGATGGATGAATGGATGGATGAATAGTGGGTGGGTGGTAGATAGACGGATGATGGGTGGGTGTGTGGATGGATGGATGGAAAGATGGATGGATAGATGGATGGGTGGATGGATGGTAGGTGGGTGGGTGGGCATGTGGATGGATGGATGGATAGATGGGTAGCTAGATGATAGGTAGATGGATGGATGGATAGATAGGTAGACAGTTGTCAGATGATAAAATGGATGGGCTGGGCACAGTGGCTGACACTTGTAATCCCAGCACTTTCGGAAGCTGAGGTGGGTGGATCACTTGAGGTCAGGAGTTCGAGACCAGCCTGGCCAACATGGTGAAACCATGTCTGTACTAAAAATACAAAAATTATCCAGGCCTGGTGGTGGGTGCCTGTAATCCCAGCTACTTGGGAGTCTGAGGCAGGAGAATTGCTTAAAGACAGGAGGTGGAGGTTGCAGAGAGCCAAGATCGTGCCACTGCACTCCAGCCTGAGTGGCAGAGCAAAAACTCTGTCTCAAAAAAAAAAAAAAAAAAAAAGGATGAATTGATAAATACATAGATAGATAGATGATAGATAGATAGTGAGTGGGAGGTAGATAAGTGGATGGATGAATGGTTGGTAGGTGGGTGTGTATATAGATGGATGGATAGCTAGACGATAGATACATGTGGATGGATAGATGGATACATGGATAGGTGTATAGGTAGATACATACATACATAGATGAAACACACACGGATGGATAGATATATACATGGATGGATAGATAATATAGATAGATGGATAGATGCATAGATGGATAGATGGATTGATCGATTGACAGATAGATAGATAGATAGATAGATAGATAGATAGATAGATAGATAGACAGATAAATGGACAGATAGATAGGCAGGTAGGCAGGTGGTAAGGAGTGGCCCGGGCTTAGCAGGAGGGCCAGGAGGAGCAGCCTCGCATGAAGCTGCACTAGCATCAGGATGAAGATCCGTTGCTCTTGGATTGTGTTTTCCACCCAACGGACTCTCACAAACGTGTTGTATTTGGTCCCCATGAATCTTCATCCACACCGTCTAAGGCAAGAGGAGATGTGGTGGTGTCCTGACCACAAGGGCAGGCAGGACCCCGGGCTCTGGCTGTGTCTGGGGCCTCAGTTCTGTGTGTCTTGGAGGAGGCAGGGGTTCAGGGGTCACTGTGTGTCTCACTTGAAAAATGCTTGTTGCAGATCCAAGATATTGTCCGGAGGCGGCAGCTGCTGACTGTCTTCAGGGAAGGCAAGGATGGTCAGCAGGATGTGGATGTGGCCATCCTGCAGGCCTTGCTGAAAGGTGAGGGTCAGGGAACATGGGGGGAATGGGATGGAGACCAGAACGTGGGCTCTGACGATGCTAAGTTCTAGTCTCGAAGTGCCATGATTCTGGGAACCAGAATATTCCTCCTTGGTCAGAAACCCTGACCAGAGGGCAGCTGGCGATGGGCAGGTGGGCGCCTGCCTGTCACCTGATGTTAGAGGTATGAGTTCCTTTATTTGTAACTGGAATCCGAGTGCAGCCGCTGTCATTTATACCTTTGTAATAGTCATAATTTCTCACAAAACTTCAGGGTGGAAAGGAAGAGTGCGGAAGTTGCCTTTCCTGCCTGCTGGCTACTTTAGCTCCTCTACCTCTGATGCAGGAGAGTGTAGAGGCAGAGCAGGGCCTCAGGAATGGTGTGATGTACTCGAGCTGCAGTGGCTCTCTGTGTAACTTCTGTTGCTTAGCCTGGCCCATTCTCCAGGCCACAAACATCGCTGTCCTCTTCTTGTGCCACAGGTGAGAAGGCTCATGCCTCCTTGTCTTACCTAGCTGGATTCAACATGGCCAGGACATCCCTGACACTGGGAAGCCTTGGTCTTATACGTGCTCCTCCTGCCCGATGCTGGGCTTCTCACCCTCCAGGGTCAGAGGCCCCAGGCTGATTCTGAAGGGCGCAGCAGAGTGGGCCCAGGCTGGGATCAGCAGGGAACTTTTGTGATAAAGGCCAGACTTTCATCTTGTTTCTGTGTTGATTTGAGACTCCCCTTATCAAGCACTTGATGTGCATAAAACCTCACACCCACAGCGAGATGATAGACTACGTATTAGATCACAAATTAAGTCTTAATTTATCTCTCAATAGATTTAAGGTAGATATTATACAAAGTATCTTCTCTGACAACAAGATGAAGTTAGGAATCAATAATGGATGTAAAAGTGGAAAATTCACGAAGTTGTGGAAACTAAACACTACCTTAAACAGCCAATGGATCAAAGAAGAAATCAAAAGGGAAATCAAGAAACCAATGAAAACAAAAGCACAACATATCAAAGCTTATGGGACGTAGCAAAAGCAGTGCTAATGGAGAAATTTATAGCTATAAATGCTTACATTAAAAAATAAGATCTTAGGCCAGGTGTGGTGGCTCATGCCTGTAATCCCAGCACTTTGGGAGGCCAAGGAGGGCAGATCACGAGGTCAAGAGATCGAGACCATCCTGGTTAACATGGTGAAACCCCGTCTCTACTAAAATTACAAAAAATTAGCTGGGTGTGGTGGCGGGCGCCTGTAGTCCCAGCAACTCGGGAGGCTAAGGCAGGAGAATGGCGTGAACCTGGGAGGCGGAGCTTGCAGTGAGCCAAGATTGCGCCACTGCAGTCTAACCTGGGCGACAGAGCAAGACTCCTTCTCAAAAACAAAAAAACGAAGAAAAAAAATAAGATCTTAAACCAACAACCTAACTTTACAACTTAAGTAATTAGAAAAATAAGAACAAATGAAATCTTTTTCTCCAAGATAGAAATAAGGGAAGGATGCATACTTTCACCACTTCTATTCAACATTGCATTGGAAGTTCAAGCCAGAGCAATTAGACAAAAAAAAAAACCACAAAAAAAAAAACTTACACATTGGGAAGGAAAAAAAAATTATTTATGTTCACAGATGATATGATTTTCGTATTTGTCCATTTTCACACTGCTATAAAGAACTGCCCAAGACTGTGTAATTTATAAAGGAAAGAGGTTAAATTGACTCACAGTTCAGCATGGCTGAGAAGGCCTCAGAAAACTTACAATCATGGTGGAAGATGAAGGGGATGCAAGGCACTGTCTTCACAAGGTGACAGGAAAGAGAGGTGCCAAATGAAGAAAGAAGAGCCCCTTCTAAAATCATCAGATCTCATGAGAACTTAGTATCATGGGGGAAAATGTCCCCATGATCCAACTACCTCCACTTTGTCTCTTCCTTGACACATGGGGATCATAGGGATTATAATTCAAGATGAGATTTGGGTGGGGACACAGAGCCTAACCATATCAATTTTCTGTGCAGAAAACTGTAAAGATTCCACAACAAACCCCTGATCTAATAAATGAATTAAGCAAAGTAGCAGGACACAAAATCAACACACAAAAATCTGCTGCATTTCTATACACTAAAAATGAATACTCAGAAAAGGAAATTATGAAAACAATTCTATTTAGAGTAGCATCAAAAAGAAAAAAAATACTGAGGAATTAATTAAACCAAGGGGATGAAAGACTTGTACAATGAAAACTGTAAAACATTGCTGAAAGAAATGAAAGACATAAACAAATGGAAAGACATCCCATGTTCATGAATTGGAAGCCTTAATATTGTTAAGATGTCAATACTACTTAAAGCAATCTACAGGTCCAATGCAATTCCTATCAAAACCCCAGTGATTTTTTTTTTTTTTTGCAAAAATAGAAAAGCTCATCCTAGAATTCATGTGGAGTCTAAAGGGATCCCAAACAGCCAAAATAATTTTGAAAGGGAAGAACAAAGCTGGAAGACTCACACTTTCTGATTTCTAAACTCACTACAAAGCTATAGTAATCAAAACTGTCCGGCAATGGTGTAAAGAAAGACATAGAGGACTGGGTGTGGTGGCTCATGCCTGTAATCCCAGTACTTTGGGAGGCCAAAGTGGGCTGATTGCTTGGGCTTAGGAGTTTGGGACCAGCCTGGGCAACATGGTGAAACCCTGTCTCTATAAAAAATATAAAAGCTGGGCATGGCGATTCATGCTTGTAATCCCAGCAATGTGGGAGGTTGAGGGGAGAGGATCACTTGAGTTCAGAAGGTTGGGGCTGCAGTGAGCTATGATTGCACCACTGCACTCCAGCCTGGGCAACAGAGTGAGACCCTGTCTCAAAAAAACCCCAAAAAGATGTGGAGAACAGTGGAACAGAATAGTTAGCCCAAAAATAAACCCTCACATATATGGTCAGATGATATTTGACACGAATGCAGAAATCATTCAGTGAGGAGAGGGATAGTCTTTTCAACAAATGATGCTGGATAAACTGGATATTCACATGCCAAAGAATCAAGTTAGACCCTTACCTAACACCATATACAAAAATTAAGTCAAAGTAGGTCAAGGACTTCTAAATATAAGACCTAAACTCCTAGAAGAAAGCACAGGACAAAAACTTCATGACAAAGAGTTTGGCAGTGGTTTCTTGGCTATGACACCTAAGGCACAGGAAACAAAAGAAAATATAGATAAATTGGGCTTTATGAAAATTAAAAATTTTGTTCATCAAAAGATATTATCAACAGAGTAAAAATGCAACCCATGGAATGGGAGAAAATATTTGCAAATCATACATATGGTAAGGGATTGGTATCCAGAATATATAGAGAACTCCTATAACTCAACAATAAAAAAACCCCAACACAATTCAAAAATGGGCAAAGGACTTGAATAGACATTTCTTTAAAGAAGATGTACAAATGGCCAATAAGCACATGAAAAGATGCTCAGCATCACTAATCATTGGAGAAATGCAGATCAAAACTAAGAGATATCATTTCAAACACATTAGGATAGCTACTATAAAAGAGAACAGAAAATCACAAATGTTGGCCAGTGTGTGGAGAAACTGGAACCCTTGTGCACTGCTGGTGGATATGTAACATGGTGCAGCTGTCATGGAAAACAGGATGACAGTTCCTTAAAATTTAAAAATACAATTCCTATATGATCCAGCTATTTCACTTCTAGATATATATGCCACTCCCCACCCCCAAATTTAAAGTAGGGTCTGGAAGAGATATTTGTACACTCATGTTCATAGCTGTATTATCCACAATAGCTAAAAAGTGGAAGAGGCCCAAGTGTCCATCGACAGAAGAATAGATAAGCAAAATATGGTCTATACCTAAATGGAATATTACCGAGCCTTAAAAAGGAAGGAAATTCTGACACATGATACAACATGGATGAACCTTGAAGACATTATGCTAAGTGAAATAAGCCAGTCACAAAAGGACAGACACTATATGATTCCACTTACATGAGGTCCCTGGAGTAGTCAAATTCATGGAGACAGAAAGTAGAATGGTGGGTGCCAAGGTCTAGAGGAAGGGAGTTGACCTTGGGGAGTTAGTGTTTAACGGGGATAGAGTTTTAGTTTCCAAGATAAAAAGATATATGGAGGACAGCGATGACGGCCGCACAACATTATTAATGTACTTACTACCAGTGAACTGTACACTTAAAAATATTTGGCTGGGTGAGCTGGCTCATGCCTATAATCCCAGCACTTTGGGAGGCTGAGGTGGGAGGATCACTTGAACCGAGGAGTTTGCGACCAGCCTAGGCAACATAGCGAACCCTGTCACTACAAAAAATTTTAAAAATTAGCCAGGTATGGTGGCGCACACCTGTACTCTTAGTTACTCAAGAGGCTGAGGTGGGAGGATTGCTTGAGCCCAGGATGTTGAGGCTGCAATAAGCCTCATGATTATAAATATGATCACAGCACTGTGCTCCAGCCTGGGGGACGGAGTAAAACCCTGTCTCAAACAAAACAAAGCAAAACAACCCCAAGAAGTTAAGATGGTAAATTTTATGCTACATGTATTTTACCACAATTTAAAAACATAATGAATTTTAAAATGTCAACTTTATGAAGGTTCAGCTTAGAGACAATAAGCTCCTCCAATTCTAAATGTATTGTATAACAAGCATAGACACCGTGACACACCACAGTCTCCATACAGGACATCTCCCTTACCCTGCATGTTCCCTCATGGCCCTTTGTAGTTAAGCCTCTCTCCAGCCTGGCTCTGGAAGTCATCTGTCTGCTTTCTGTCACTCTAGAATAGTTTTGCCCATTTTAGAACTTCACATGAATGAAATCATACATGATACATTCTTTCGTGTCTTCCTTCTTTTGCTCAGTGCATTGTTTTTGAGATTCATCCATGTTGTTGCATGTGTCAGAACTTCGTTCTTTTTTGTTTGTGAAGGAGTGTCCTATTGTGTGAATATACCACAGGTTGTTTTTCCAGTCATCTGTTGGTGGGCATAGGTTGTTTCCAGTTTGGGGCTGTTATGAATAAAGCTGCTATTTGTCTTCATTTCTCCTGGGTCAATATCTAGGAGTGGAATTACTGGCCTTTATGGTGAGTGTATGTTTCACTTTGTAAAAAACTGACAAACTTTTCTGAAAAGATTGAAAAGATTGCATTCCTTTTCCTGTTTGCTGGCAATGGATGAGCGTTACCCTACATCCTTGTCAACACTTGGTGGTGTCAGTCTTTTAAGCTGCAGCCATCCTAGTGGGCATGAAGAGACATTTCATTGTGGTTTGAACTTACATTTCCCTGAGGACTACTGATGTGGAGCATCATTTTAAGGACTTTTTGGCCATTTGCCTGTCTTCCTTCTGAAATGTCTTTCAGATCTCTTGTCCATTTTTATTTGATTATTTGTCTTCCAATTTTCGATTTGTAAGAGTTATTTTTATATTCTGATACAAATCCTTTGTCAGATATTTTCTCATGGTGTGTAGTTTGCTTTCATATTTTCTTCAAGATATCTTTGAAGAGCAGGAGCCTTAAATTTTTTTATTGTTATTTTTATTTATTTATTTGTTTATTTTTTTGAGACGGAGTCTCACTCTGTCGCCCAGGCTAGAGTGCAGTGGTGCAATCTCGGCTCATTGCAAGCTCCACCTCCCAGGTTCACACCATTCTGCTTCAGCCTCCCAAGTAGCTGGGACTACAGGCGCCCACAACCACACCCACCTAATTTTTGGTTTTTTTAGTAAAGACGGGGTTTCGCCATGTTAGCCAGGATAGTCTCAATCTCCTGACCTCGTGATCCGCCCGCCTTGGCCTCCCAAAATGCTGGGATTACAGGCATGAGCCACTGCACCCAGCCAATTTAATTAGTTTTTCTTTATGGTTCATGTTCTTTGTGTCATAGCTAAGAGATCTCTGCCCATCCCAAGGTTGCAGATATTTTCTTCTGTTTTCTGATAGCAGCTTTGTAGACATAGCCTTTATGTTTGGGCCTATGAACCGCTTCAGGTTGATTCTTGTGTATGGTGTGAGGTAAGGGTCAAAGTTCTTTCTTCTTTTTCCCCAAATAACAACCCATGTTTTGAAAAGTTAAACCAGAAAGAGGGCACAGAAAGTACTTGAGCAAAATAACTTGTCCTGAGAACCAGTGAGGTGGTTGTTGCCATTGAACATTTACAGGCAATTGAGGCAGGATTGGAAATGCGATGGCTTCTGAGTCCTGAGTTTTGGATGAGTTAGTGTAAGATGCCTGCCCTCCAGAGACCTACGTCTTCTTAAAACAGGGAGGCCCTTTTCTTGCTCACTGCCCACCTGTTGCTCAGGGGCCAGGGCATGGCCAGGAGGAGGGCAGGGGAAATAGGGGTGCATGGACATGATGACTAAAGCCCCAAGATTCACTGATTCTGACTCTGAAATGGAACATGATTTTGCAAGGCTGTGTGTATGGGAGGAGGTCACTGGGTGCTGCACCTGTCACTTTGAATTGTTGAGAGGCAAGGGCTCATGACACATCTCTGCCTCTGACATCATAAGTCAGTCGCCCTGGAGGGAAATGGCTTTGACCTCCAGATCAAGGCCCAGTGTGCACCTGTTCATCTGCAGCCTCCCGGAGCCAAGACCACTTTGGCCACGAGAACTGGGACCACCAGCTGAAATTGGCAGTGGCATGGAATCGCGTGGACATTGCCCGCAGTGAAATCTTCACGGATGAGTGGCAGTGGAAGGTAAGTCTTCCTGAGTGCCCTGTGGAGGGGCCCACTGGGCCCACGTGCATTGCACCACCGAAACAAGGGCAGGCGAGGATCGCCTCGTCTGGATCCCAGCCCTTCCCTTCAGGGTGGGTGACCCGGGCAGCTTTCATCCTCCCCAGCAACAGCAGCCCCCATCTCCAGGGTCTTTGAGATCAGGATGACATGGGATGATGACCAAATGCATCCATCACCACACAATGCTTGCTCTCAGCCTTCAGATCTGCACCCCATGATGACGGCTGCCCTCATTTCCAACAAGCCTGAGTTCGTGAAGCTCTTCCTGGAGAACGGGGTGCAGCTGAAGGAGTTCGTCACCTGGGATACCTTGCTTTATCTGTATGAGAACCTGGAGCCCTCCTGCCTGTTCCACAGCAAGCTGCAGAAGGTGCTGGCGGAGGAACCCGAGCGCCTGGCTTGTGCACCCGCTGCGCCCCGCCTGCAGATGCACCATGTGGCCCAGGTGCTGCGGGAGCTGCTGGGGGACTTCACACAGCCGCTCTACCCCCGGCCCTGGCACAGCGACCGGCCTCGGCTCCTGCTGCCCGTGTCCCACATCAAGCTCAATGTGCGTGCTGGTAACGGGGCCCAACCTGGCCTTGCCCGCGCGGGATACTGCCATGTTCTTAGAGCTCTCTGTTTTTAAAATTAGCTTTTATTTTTATTAGAAAAGACACATGCTCTATCTTAGACTGCTTGGGCTGCTGTAACAAAATTCCACAGATGGGGCAGAAACTACCAGTTTATTTTCTGGAAGTTCTGGGGGCCTGAAGTCCCAGATTAAGGCACCAGCAGGGCTGGCTTCTGGCCAGGGCCTCTTCCTGCTTGCACGTGGCTGCCCTCTTGCTGTGTCTTCGCATGACAGAGAGAGAAGTCTCTGGTGCCACTTCCTTTTCTTTTTCTTTTATTTATTTTTTATTTTATTGAAACAGGGTCTCACTCTGTCGTCCAGGCTGGAGGGCAGTGGCGTGATCATAGCTCACTGCAGCCTCAACCTCCCAGGCTCAAGCAATCCTCCCACCTCAGCCTCCCAAGTAGCTGGGACTACAGGTGTGCACCACCACACCTGGCTAATTTTTAAAATTTTTTGTAGAGACGGTTTTGCCATTTTGGACAGGCTGGTCTCAAACTCCTGGTCTCAAGTGATCCGCTCTCCTCAGCCTCCAAAAGGCTGGAATTTACACCCTTGAGCCACCATGACTTGCCTCTTTTTATGTTTGAGACAGGGTCTGGCTCTGTCACCCAGGCTGTAGTGCAGTGGTGCAATCATGGCTCACTGTAGCTTCCACCTCCTGGGCTCAAGCAATCTTCCTGCCTCAGTTGCTTGAGTAGCTGGGACTATACGCACGTGCCACCATGCCCAGGTTTTTTAAAATTTGTTTTTGTTTTTGTTTTTCTATGTTTTGTAGAGATGGGGTCTCATTATATGGCCCAGGCTGGTCTCAAACTCCGGGGCTCAAGTGATCCTCTGTCTTGACTTCCCAAAGTGCTGGGATTGCAGGTGTGAGCCTCTGCACCTAGCCTCACTCCTCTTTTTATAAAGAGAACACACCTATCCACTTAGGAACCCACAATGTGGCCTCATTTAACCTTAATTACCTTCTTAAAGACCCTGTCTCCAAGTGCTGTAGTCACATTGGGGGTTAGGGCTTCAACATATGAATTTTAGGGCGACACAGTTCAGTCCATACCATACCCTTTCTAAAAGTTCCAAACAGTACAAAAGGTTCTGCAGGGAGCATGATCCGCCTACCCTGATCCCACTCCTGCCCAGTAGATGTGCTTGTTTTTTCCTACAGTCAGGTCAGTAACATTCCAGAGTATTTTTGTGAGATGCCCAGTGTGCACTGCAGCTGTAGGAGAGAGGATGCTGTAGTCTGCATCCTGATTCAATGGGAGCCCTGCTCTAGTCTCACCTTCATTTAATGGGAACCCTGCTCTAGTCTCCAACCTTATTTAATGGGAACCCTGCTGTAATCTCCACCTTGATTCAATGGGAACCCTGCCCTAATCTCCACCCTGATTCAATGGGAACCCTGCTCTAATATCCACCCTTATTCAATGGGAACCCTGCCCTAATCTCCACCCTGATTCAATGGGAACCCTGCTGTAATCTCCACCCTGATTCAATGAGAACCCTGCCCTAGTCTGTGTACCCTTATTCAGTGGGAACCTGGCAGTGACTCAATGTCAGGAATGATGCTGGATTTTGTATTTGTTTTTCTCTTGGGAGTTGTTTTTTTTTTTTTTGAGACAGAGTCTGTCTGATCGCCTAGGGCTGGAGTTGCAGTACCGGATCTAGTCACTTTGCAAGCCTCCGAGGCCCTCCCGACGGTTTTACGCCCATTTCCTGCCTCGGCCTCCCGAGTGCTGGGACTACAGGCGCCCCGCCAACCTCGGCCTGGCTGTTTTTGTAATTTTTTTTTTTAAGTAGGAGACGGAGGTTTCACATGTTAGCCCAGGATGGTCTCGATTCCTCCTGGAACCTCGTGATCGCCGCCGTCTCGGGCCTCCCAAAGGTGCTGGGGGATACAGAGGGCCTTGAGCCACGCGCCCGGCGCCTCTTAGGAGGTATTTTATCTTCTGATTCATTAAGGGTTTTACAAACAAAAGCCATCAGATGCCTTTTTGAGAGGATTGGAGCTTGCTTTCTTCTCTTGAGCCTATGAATTTGGGAATTATTTTAACCCAGATTTTCTGACAGTGAAACATGTTTTTATTTTTGCGTTTGAACATTTAGCCCGTGTGGCCTCAGTGCAAGTTTAATAATACGAATTTCTCTTGACAAACCATTTTCAGGGCCGCGGCGTGTGTTGCATCGATAGTGCTTTAAGGCCTTGGATTGCCGAGTTTTTATTTTGGGGAGCTATTATTTGTCAGGTTTTTGATAGCAATTTTATGTTAGTTTTTATGTAAAACCAATTTGGGAAGCTTTCTTTCCTTCTCGCTGCAGGAGACAGTTTATGCATGGAGCTTTAATCGCTTCTTATACTTGGTCGACTTTCCCCTGTGAGTCCATTCTGGGCCAGTGCTGTTTTTTTTTTAAATTGGTAATAGGTTCTAGTAACTTTCTGTATTATTTTCTCTTATTTTAGTGTTAGGGTTCGTCCATCTCCTCTAGCTTCCACATTGTTGGTTTTGTTTTTATCCCTGCTAGAAAATAGTTTCTATTTCCTCCCAGGTTTCCAATCGACCCATTGTTCGCAGGTGAGCTCTGTCTTCACTCTTGAGAAGACATGGGGTATTGACTTGTTATTTGTTTTTTTTTTGAGACGGAAGTTCGCTCGTATTGCCCAGGCTGAGTTGCAATGGGCATATCTCGGCTCACTGCAGCCTCTGCCTCCTGGGTTCCATTGAGTCTGTTGCCTCAGCCTCCTGAGTAGCTGGGATCACAGGCTCCCACCACCATGCCCGGCTAATTTTTTGTATTTTTAGTAGAGATGGGGTTTCACCATGTTGGCCAGGCTGGTCTCGAACTCTTGGCCTTAGGATCCACCCATCTTGGCTTCCCAAAGTGCTGGGATTACAGGCGTGAGCTACTGCATCAGGCCGGGTATGGCTTGGTTTTATACATTAACAATCTGCGCTTCTTAAGTCCAGAGAGTTTATTTAGAACGCTCAGTTGGAATATGCTTAGGAAGGTCCAAAACAGAAGCTCAGGCTTATCCGTACCTGTGGTTTAGGAAGAAAAACACATTTCTTTATAATGAAAAACCTTCAGGAAATCTCTAGGATCCCTTGAGGTGTGTTTTTTTTTTTTTTTTTTTTTTTGAGACGGAGTCTCGCTCTGTCGCCCGGGCTGGAGTGCAGTGGCCGGATCTCAGCTCACTGCAAGCTCCGCCCCCTGGGTTTACGCCATTCTCCTGCCTCAGCCTCCCGAGTAGCTGGGACTACAGGCGCTCGCCACCTCACCCGGCTAGTTTTTTTTTTGTATTTTTTAGTAGAGACGGGGTTTCACCGTGTTAACCAGGATGGTCTCGATCTCCTGACCTCGTGATCCGCCCGTCTCGGCCTCCCAAAGTGCTGGGATTACAGGCTTGAGCCACCGCGCCCGGCCGTGTTTTTTACAGTATGTGATTTTGGAGATGTGTTTTCTACTTCCGGGAAGTATTTCCCAGCTACGTGAGGACGTGCTTCCTGGTCCGGGGAAAAGCCCAGCCGTGTAGGGGAGGTGGGTCTGGGCAAGGTGCCCCGTCCTAGCTCGTGTGTGAGCCTTGTCGCCCACCCTTCAGATCTTTCCTAGTGGCTGCTCTGCCAGAGACACTGAAGGAGATTCCCTCAGGGAGAAGACAGTCACTGACCTGTTAACACCCTCCACTGTGCTAGAAGTTTACTTCGTTGAAAGTGGCTTTGATGCCATCAGATAAGACTAGGGAACCTTGAAGTGCCTGGCATGAAACAAGAGTCTACAAACGCTGGTAAAGGAGTTAGATGTGGGTATTTCACTTTCTAGATGTTTCTAGATGTCTCTAGAACAGTGCTTTAAAAAACTTCAGTGTGCGTAAGAATGATCTAGGCTGTTGCTGAAAATTCAGGCTGTAGTTCTCCAGGGACAGTGAGATCCTGAGAAGGTCAGGGCTGGGATTAGAGCTTTCACCTCTAACAGGTTCCTCCAGTGACTCTGAGCCAGTGGGGACCAGCTGGGGCTCTGACTGTCCACTGCTTACCAGGTGCAGGGAGTGAGCCTCCGGTCCCTCTACAAGCGTTCCTCAGGCCATGTGACCTTCACCATGGACCCCGTCCGTGACCTTCTCATTTGGGCCATCGTCCAGAACCGTCGGGAGCTGGCAGGAATCATCTGGGCTCAGGTAATAAGACCGGCTTCTGAGCAGACACAGCTATAGGCCAGTGGCCAACTGCGGAGCGTGGCTGGAGAGCTTGAGGCCAAGTGCCAGCGGGGCCTGTGGAGGGGTGTGGGCATCTCCAACGTCAGGAAGGACTTGGGGCACCCGGAGTTGGAGAACAAAGAACTTAGCTCTAGGCAGGAAAGGAATTTTTTTTTTTTTTTAAAGACAGAGTCTCGCTCTGTCGCTCAGGATGGAGTGCAATGGCATGGCCTTGGCTCACTGCAACCTCCACCTACTGGGTTCAAGCGATTTTCCTGCCTCAGCCTCCTGAGTAAATGGAACAACATGCATGTGCCACCACGCCTAGCTAATTTTTTATGTTTTTAGTAGAGATGGGGTTTCACCATATTGGTCAGGCTGTCTCAAACTCCTGACTTCATGATCCACCTGCCTCGGCCTCCCAAGGTGCTGGGATTACAGGCATGAGCCACTGTGCCTGGCCTAGGAAAGGAATTTTTAAATTAAAAGTTCTTAAAAAAACTCATTCTGTGGTTATGTCCAGGGCCGAGTCTTGCTGGACACACACAGGCCGGGTGGTGCCGCCCTCTGCAGCTCACACTGGTTCTGGTGGGGGCCGGTGCATGCGCTGGGCACGTGCCGTCCATTAGGCTTTGCAGGGCAAGCAGTCCCCTCCCACAGGCCACGCGGGAGCCTGGACCATCAGAGGTTGTGTACTGATTGGAGCGGGGCTTAAATTGTCTGTGCAGATGTGGCCACAGACAGTGATTGCCCAGCGGCCCGCACCGTCCCCGGGCCTTGTTTTCATCACCCAGGGCAGTGTGTTGGGTTCCCCAGGCTGGGTCGAGCCTGGCTAGGCCCTTTAGAGTCTCACGGTGGCTCCTCCGGTCCCCAGAGCCAGGACTGCATCGCAGCGGCCTTGGCCTGCAGCAAGATCCTGAAGGAGTTGTCCAAGGAGGAGGAGGACACGGACAGCTCGGAGGAGATGCTGGCGCTGGCAGAGGAGTGTGAGCACAGAGCCATCGGTGAGCTCTGCCAGGCACGGGCTGCAGGCCATGGCTCAGTCATGCATGCTCTCCCTGGGGTCCTCGTCCCTGGGTCTCAGCCCTGTGTGCTCACCCTGGGGTCCTCCCTCATCCCTGAGTCTTGGCCCCATAACCACCCACTGGGTTTCTCTTGCCTGCTGCCCAGATAGAGCCCATTTGTTAAGACAGTGAGATTGCAATAGAGAAAGAGTTCAATTCCCACAGAGCTGGCTGAATGGGATGCTGGAGTTTCATCACCCAAATCAGTCTCCCTGAAAATTTGGAGACTTTTTTTTTTTTTGAGACAGAGTCTGGCTCTGTTGCCCAGGCTGGAGTGCAATGGCACAGTCTCAGCTCACCACACCCTCTGCCTCCCGGGTTCAAGCAATTCTCCTGTCTCAGCCTCCTGAGTAGCTGGGATTACAGGCACATGCCACGACGCCTGGCTAATTTTGTCTTCTTAGTAGAGACGGGGTTTCATCATATTGGTCAGGCTGGTCTCGAACTCCTAACCTCAGGTGATCCACCCACCTCAGCCTCCCAAAGTGCTGGGATTACAGGCGTGAGCCACTGCACCTGGCGAGACTGGGGGTTTTTAAGGATAATTTGGTGGATAGGGGACCAGGCAGTGGGGAGCACTGATGGGTTGGGCCAGAGGTGAAATCACAGCGGATTCTTCTCGCTGTCTGCTGTTCCTGGATGTGGTCACAGAACTGGTTGGGCCAGATTTGCAGTCGGGGTGGCAACAGTGGTGCATCAGAACGCAGGCTCTGAAAATATCCTGGGTTTTCCGATAGTGATGTTATTCCTAGGAAGAGTTGGTGCGGTTTGGAATCTTGTGGCCTCTGGCTGTATGACTCCTAAACTGTAATTTCTAATTTGTGGCTACTTTGTTAGTCTTACAAAGGCAGACTGGTCCCCGGCAAGAAGGGGGTTTGTTTTGGGAAAGGGTTACTATCATCTTTGTTTGGAAGTTAAACTATAAACGAAGTTCCTCTCAAAGTTAGTGTGGCCTGTGCCCAGGAATGGACGTTGGAGGTTAGAAGCAAGATGGAGTTGGTTAGGTCAGTTCTCTGTCCCGGTCATAATTTTCTCCCTGTTGTAATTTTTGTAGAGGTGGTTCCAGCCCTATGTGCCCTCCCCCTGGGGTCCTCTTCCCCGGGCCCGGGTGTTTTGAGGCATCAGCCCCACATTTGCCCTGTGCCCTTCCCTGTTTCCTGGTGGTGCTTTCCAGAGTGGTTACCCTCTGACTCGGCCCCAGGGCTCAGTGATCGTGACCTGCTTCTCTGACGGGGTCTTATGTCTCCGCCCAGGGGTCTTCACTGAATGTTACCGGAAGGACGAAGAGAGAGCCCAGAAACTGCTCATCCGCGTGTCCGAGGCCTGGGGGAAGACCACCTGCCTGCAGCTCGCCCTGGAGGCCAAGGACATGAAGTTTGTGTCTCACGGAGGCATCCAGGTGACCTCCCAAGGGCGCCTTCCAGAAACAGATGCCTGTGGTGCCTTCAGGGCGGACACAGCCTCCGGTTCACGCAGTCGGCACGCACACTCACACGGGCTTCGGGGCCCTCAGAGGCTCGGGGACAGTGCCTGACCCCTTGGCCACCTGCTCCAGGCTCTGGCCTCCCATTTTGCAGACGGGGAAACTAATGTGAAGCAAAAGCAGGAGCTGGTGGCTGCGGAGGTCACAGTTCACCTCCCCACGGACGCTCCTATCTGGGAGCGGCAGGCTGCTTTAGAAGCCCAGGTGGCTCTGGGAACGGCGTCTGCCCTCTCTTCCTGAAGGGATAAGCGGGACACGGCGTGTCCTCCCTGGAGACGCAGGGGCTCCCGGGCATGGCTGCCCTCAGCATCGCCCTGGCACCCCCGGCGGGGCCTGGCCCACAGCAAGTGCCCCTTGCATGCTGGGCTTCCTTGGAGCTCCGAGCTATTGCCAAGTCCATGAGCTCCCATCGTGTCCTGGGCTGTGCCGGGCCTGCAGAGGGGTCCTGTCCCCCACTGCGGAGCTCAGAGGGGCCCGCGCTCGACAGCCTGCAACTGCGGGGCCTTAGAAGCCAGCAGAGATGGGGTCCCATAGCTCAAGGTCATGTGAAGGGTGGGATTGGGCACCCAAATGCCCCCGGGCAAGCTCTATGTTTTCACCACTTTCTGCTGTGAGACTACAGACAGCTCTGTCCACTAGGCACCCCGAGTCCTCAGCAGACAGCTGATGGGCACCATCTGGGGCACAGGGCTGGGCACCACCATCCTGAGACTGCCCCCATCCGCAGGCCTTCCTGACCAAGGTGTGGTGGGGCCAGCTCTGTGTGGACAACGGGCTGTGGCGTGTGACCCTGTGCATGCTGGCCTTCCCGCTGCTCCTCACCGGCCTCATCTCCTTCAGGTGCTGCAGGGCTGCGGGGCTGCGGGGCTGTGGGAGGGGCTCCTGGGGGCTCAGGACCTTCCCCAGATCCCCTCGCTGGGAGCAAGTCATGTGTCCTCAGAATTGTGCCTGATCCTGGGGCCATAGAGATGGGGGTGGGAAGCGGAGCAGGGCCCCACGTGCTGGAAGCACCTGCCCTGCCCCAGCCCCAGTGCTGATCGCATGATGCTGGTGAGCCCATCCCTCGGCCACAGCAGCCTGGGGTCGGGGAGGCCAGGAAAGATGGTCTCCTGCTCCTGCCAGCACTGCAGACCTGAGCCAGTCTGGGGCTCAGGCAGTAAGTGCAGGTCTAGGGTAGGGGCAGTGAGCCGCGGCTGAGTGCCTCCCTGTCCTCGCAGCTGCAGAGCCGTATGCAGAGTCTGATGTAATCGCTTTCCCTTCCGAAGGAGGAAGACATGGCTGGCCATGGTTGAAGACCTGGCCTGGCCTGGTGTCCCCACCTGCATCTCCTCAGAGGCTTGCTGGGACGTTGTGGGGTCTGCTGTGGTTTACTGAGGGCTGGATAGAGTCTCAGGGTCTCCTGGAAGTCGGGGCAGATTCAAGACTCCAGCGAGGTGGCTGAGCCCCTTCTGCAACTCACAGGCCACACTGCCCACCTCCTTCCCTTTCTCCTGATGGCCACGATGGGTACCTGAATGCTCAGGAATCCTGGTGGGAAACTGAGACAGGGAGGAGCAGCTCAGGTGTCCTAAAGCAGTGCTGGCTTCTCCCATGCTGTCCTGAGGATGGCAGAGCCGTATCACTGATGGCCGCCTCTGCTCCCGTTCCAGCGGCCCCGGGATAGGGACCTGGGATCAGGGCATGCCACAGGGGGAGTGTGGTCAGCCCTGCCCCCAGTGAGGATGGCGAGGAAAGCCTGTCCCCATTTACAGGAGGGTCACTAAGGCCTGAGCGTCCACTGAGCACTGGGAGCTCTGAAGCTGGGGTCCACCCAAGGCTGGGCTTGGGGCAGGCTGGGCTTCCCTGTTTGCAGCCATGAGGGTCATGGCCATGGGCAGGGTGTCAGCGGGCATCCCTGTGTCCTCACTTTGCTGGGCCGTGGGGTCCAGCCCCACTCTAGTGGCTGCGCTGTGCTGGCTCCGCCTGGAGCTGCTGTTCTGGCCCTGGATCCCTGAGTGCTTTTGCCCCTAAAAGCACATCTCTCTGAGGGGCACGGGGGATCATGGGGTGGCCAAAGCCTGTGGAGGTCAGGACCCTGGCCCTGGCAGTCACTGTCTCCTCTCCACTGCGACGGCCACAGAGAGAAGAGGCTGCAGGGGGTAAGCAGCCCCGTGGCCCGCGCCCGCGCCTTCTTCACCGCGCCCGTGGTCGTCTTCCACCTGAACATCCTCTCCTACTTCGCCTTCCTCTGCCTGTTCGCCTATGTGCTCATGGTGGACTTCCAGCCCACGCCCTCCTGGTGCGAGTGTGCCATCTACCTCTGGCTGTTCTCCTTGGTGTGTGAGGAGACGCGGCAGGTACAGCCCCATCCGCCTTTCCACGCCCCAGCCCGGGGCCACCCACTTGGCTGCATTCTGGTAGGGGACCCAGGGCTTAGAGCCCACCCCACCTAGCCTGCCTAGCCCCTTGCGAGCTGGGCAGAGCCAGTGCTCCCTCCCCAAAATGGGTGGCTGGGGCCCCTCCCTCCTCGTGCCCACTGTGCCTGCTTCCCTGCTTTCCCTCAGCCCAGACATCCTCCCCTCCTGGAGACCAGTTGATTAGCTCCAGGTGGATGCCCTGACCTTGTGGACTTTGAATGGGTGTGTCCCCTCCCCCAGGAAGAGCTATGCAAGGTGGGGGTTCCCTAAGACCCCTCTCACATTCAGTAACTAGCCAAAAGGACCCACAGACGCTGGGGAGTGGCAATGCTCACTTACGGTTTATTAAGCAAAAGTCTACAGACTAAAGCAGCCAGGGGGAGGGACACAGCTGCATCCAGGACAGCTCTGAGCCCAGGGCATCCTGGCAGCCCCTCCCTGTGGAGGGGTGGGTGGCACTCCATCCTCCCAGTGATGATGTGTGGCCTCAGGCATGGAGGCACGGTCCCCAGGGAAGCTCGCGGGCCTTGGTGTCTACTAGAGGTCAGTCACAGAGGCGCGGCTGACACCACATGATTGACTCAGTCTCTCATGAGGGCTCAGTCTCTAGCCCTCCAAAGGTCAAACTGAAAACTGCCCAGGACCCCACCCCAACCCAAATCACACTGTGGGACTACCTGGCATGGCCCAGGCCCCAGGTAAACAAGGACAGCCTCATCAGGTGGACATTCCAAGGGCTCAGAGGCTACCTCCCTGGAGCTGGGCGAGGCCAAGCTGCCCTCCAGGTGGGGCGAATCCCTTACTGTGTGGGGTCTCCACCATGTCCCTATGGTGCCCGCACCTGCTGGCAGCTGGTGAATGGGAACTAGGCCCATGGGACCCTCAGGGAAGTGGTGAGGGGGTGGGATTGGCCACAGGGCAGTGGTCCTGGCTTTGACTCACCTGTGCTCTCTGACCTTGGTGGAGCATCAGGCCCCCAGTTAGAAAGCGCTGTGCACTGTGTAAATACCACTGCCTACTGGGGCCCTCGGGGAGGCACCGGCATCCCCAGGAAGGAAGATCAGGGCCAGGACTGGGCGGGGCCGGGAGCTGTGTTGTGGACCTGGCTTTGCTGGGCTCTCCTTGGCCTTCCTCTTGCCACATGGCTTCTGCCACCAGACCCTCTCTACGAGGCCTCTCTGGAGGCCTCCATGCACCCCTAGCCCCAGCCCCATGGGCAGCAGCCTGAGAGCAGAGGGGGCACTTCCTACTCCCTGCATCTGTCTGTGATCCCGGGAAGGCCCTGGTTGGTCCTGCTGGTCACCTGCCCCACCTGTCCAGCTGCTGGGTCCTGGGGCCTGTGGCTAGGGAGGGTGTGGGGACTCCTGCCAAGCAGGCCAAATGGGGGTTCCCACAGCTCCTACCAGGGTCCTGCACTCTTGGCCTGCTGAAGAAGCAATGTGGCCCCCAACAGAACAAACATCCCTGTGGGAAGGCAGCTGGCGCCTGACAGTGAGGAGGGGGCTGCTGCAACACACACACACACATGCACACGTGTGCACACATGCATACACATACATGCACACATGTACATGCACACATGCACACATAAGCATATGCACACACACACACATGCACACATACATGCACACATGCACACATTACACAGACACACACATACATGCATATGCATACACACGCGCACACATGCACACACAAACATGCACACATAAACATGCATACACACGTGTACATGCACACATGCACACACATGCATATACACATACATATACACATACACATGCATACACATACAAATATACAGACATAAACACACACATGCACATGTGCACACATACATGCATACACATGCACACAAATATACACATAAACATACATGTACATACACATTACACACGTGCATACACATATACACATGTACACATGCACACAGCACACATGCACACATACATGTACACAACACATACACATGCATACATACATGCACACACATGCACATGCATACACATGCATACACACATACACAAATATACGCATCTCCATATAAGCATACACATACACACACATACATACCTACACATATACACACAAGCTCGTACACATGCACACATACACATACACGTACACATACACATATGAACACACATACAGACACATACACATATATACACACGTACACACAAGAAAAATACACATATACATATACACACAGACACACATATAAACACATGCAAACATGCACACATACAATACATACACACATATACATACACAAATGTATGCACACAGTGCACACACACATATACACACATACACATGCACAAATACCTGCACACACACACACACACACACGTATTCAGACATATACACATACATGCAGAATATATGTACATACACATATACACACACAGGTGCTGAGTGAGCAGGGCGCCAGGGGAGCTGCTGCCAGCACTACTCCGCATTGTTCCTCCATGTCCTGTTCCCATCTCCCTCACTGACCCAGCTCTCTTCAGACCAGAACCAATGTTCGGATTTGCTGACCATGATGACAGCATCAGTGATAGTCATGATAGTGATAGTGCTAGTGACAATGACAGTGATTGTGATGATAGAGATAGTGATGACAGTGGAGAGTGATGTGACAGTGACAGGATAGTGGTGATAGTGATGATAGTGACAGTTTTTGTGATAGTGGAGAGTGATGTGACAGTGACAGTGAGGATAGTGATGAACAGTGTCAGTGATAGTGATGATAGTGACTGTGGTGATGATAGTGGAGAGTGATGTCACAGTGACAGGACAGTCGTGGTAGTGACAGTGATAGTGGTGATAATGACAACAGTGACTGTGATGACAGTGATAGTGATGACAGAGGAGAGTGATGTGACAGTGAAAGGATAGTGGTGATAGTGATGATAGTGACAGTGATTGTGATAGTGACAGTGACAGTGAGGATAGTGGTGATAGTGATTATGATGATAGTGACAGTGACTGATGATAGTGGATAGTGATGGTGACAGTGAGGACAGTGGTGATAGTGACAGTGATAGTGATTATAGTGACAGTGACAGGATAGTGATAGTGACAGTGACTGTGATTGTGATGATAGTGATAGTGATGATAGTGGATAGTGATGTGACAGTGATGGTGATAGCGAGGACGGTGGTGATAGTGATAGTGGTGATAGTGACAACAGTGACTGTGATGATAGTGATAGTGATAGTGACAGTGATTGTGATGATAGCGATGATAGTGGAGAGTGATGTGACAGTGACAGGATAGTGGTGACAGTGATAGTGATGATAGTGATGATAATGGATAGTGATGTGACAGTGATGGTGACAGTGAGGACAGTGGTGATAGTGACAGTGACAGTGGTGATAGTAACAACAGTGATTGTGATGATAGTGGAGAGTGATGTGACAGTGATGGTGACAGCGAGGACAGTGGTGATAGTGACAACAGTGACTGTGATGATAGTGACAGTGATTGTGATGATAGTGGATAGTGATGTGACAGTGATGGTGACAGTGAGGACAGTAGTGATAGTGACAGTGATTGTGATGATGACAGTGGAGAGTGATGTGACAGTGATGGTGACAGGACAGTGGTGATAGTAACAGTGGTGATAGTAACAACAGTGATTGTGATGATAGTGGATAGTGATGTGACGGTGATGGTGACAGCGAGGACAGTGGTGATAGTGACAGTGGTGATAGTAACAACAGTGATTGTGATGATAGTGGATAGTGATGTGACGGTGATGGTGACAGCGAGGACAGTGGTGATAGTGACAGTGGTGATAGTAACAACAGTGATTGTGATGATAGTGGATAGTGATGTGACAGTGACAGTGAGGATAGTAAGAGTGACAGTATGTCTGCCTCCCCACCGCCTCTCTTCCCAGTAGCTCTTCTATGACCCTGACGAGTGCGGGCTGATGAAGAAGGCAGCCTTGTACTTCAGTGACTTCTGGAATAAGCTGGACGTCGGTGCGATCTTGCTCTTCGTGGCAGGGCTGACCTGCAGGTGAGTGGCCTCACCCCGATGGTGGGCCCCTGTCTGAGGCAGCCAGCCCCGCAGGGGATGAGCATAGGCCGGGTCCAGAGTCAGCCGTACCAGACGAGGCTCAGCTCCTCTGTGAACCCTGGATTGTCATCTGTCTAACGGGTGTCCGGGTGACAGTGTCCCACCTACCCTTGGGATTGTCGAGGGAGCACAGAAGGGGCATGAGAGCTCCTGGCAGAGCTGAGATTGTCCATGTGCTAGGGGCCATGGATGGCAACCACTGGAATTGTCCCAGCTCCACAGACACGCAGCTGCCCCTTGCTCCCTCTACCTCCCTGCTGTGAGGTCACTGCACTGCCTGTGATGGTCTCGGGTCTCTGTGAGGCCACGGCCCCCTTTCTCTGAGGCAAGAGAGCCCTGGCTACCTGCTGGCTCCCTAGGGTGCCCCCATGCCAGACTGCCCTCTGGGGCTGGGCGTCCAGACCTTTCTGAAGAGAAGTGGGAGGCTCTGCTCCTCGATCTCATGCCGGCTTTGAACACCTGGGATGCAGGGCCCACCAGAGCCCTTTGCCTCCAGGGCCCACCTGGGCGGGGACAGCTGGAGGAGTGGCGGGGGACAGCTCCGAGGGCCACTGTGGCGGGTGGCTGAGGTGCGTGTGCTTCTGCCTGGCGGCCAGGCTCATCCCGGCGACGTTGTATCCCGGGCGCGTCATCCTCTCTCTGGACTTCATCCTGTTCTGTCTCCGGCTCATGCACATTTTTACCGTCAGTAAGACGCTGGGGCCCAAGATCATCATTGTGAAGCGGATGGTAAGGGGACGGGGGCACCAGCTCCATCGCGGCCTGCAGCCCAGGGTGGGCCTCGGGGAGGGCAGGCCCCTTGCCTGCGGCTCAGACCAGGGCTTAAGCACACCTGCCGGCCCCCTGTCCTGCTTTGCCCCTTGGGCTCCCAAGAATGCCCTTCTCGTATCTTTGCCTGTGTGTCACCTCTTCCAGGAAACCTTCCTTCATTCTCCTTTCTGATCCCCGCTCATTCCTGACCTGTGATTCAGCTCTAGGAGCTTTCCTCCTGGGGTCATGGTTATGTCTGACCCCTCTTCGTCATGTCTTTGTGGTGCCAGCACAAAGATGTCGGCCGTCCACGAGAGTGTGGAGGCAGCCCCAGGGCTGCTCCTGGGAGTCTCCCGCATGCTGCGTCTGTGCTGTGAGTGGCAGTGCCATCTCCACCGCTGCTGGGCCTGCCTCTGGGCCCAGTGAGTGTTGGGGGCTGGGAGAGTGTAGCCCACACACCTCTCTGTCCTGCAGATGAAGGATGTCTTCTTCTTCCTCTTCCTGCTGGCCGTGTGGGTGGTGTCCTTTGGGGTGGCCAAGCAGGCCATCCTCATCCACAATGAGCGCCGGGTGGACTGGCTGTTCCGAGGGGCCGTCTACCACTCCTACCTCACCATCTTCGGGCAGATCCCGGGCTACATCGACGGTAGGAGCCGGGCACCATGGGAGCTCGGGTGGAGGAAGCAGGAGAGAGGCTGGAAAGGGGCCGCAGCCTGAGTGGGAGTGAGGCCGGCTCTGTCAGGGGGTCCTGCAGTTCCCACCTGGCCGGCGTCCTCCTTGGGGACATTCACTCCCCAGCTCCCGTGGCAGGAAGTAGAAGGGGCTCCCACTGCCCAGGGGAGGGAGGAGGGGGGGTCTGGTGGGGGTGGGGGTGGGTGGTGCCACGCAGAGGTCAGAGTGGGCTGAGGGCACCTGGGGCATCAGCTGACAGCCCCCCGAAATGGAATGTCACCCTGTTTCCCCTTTCCCTCTCACCTCAATCAGAAATAACTTCCTTCTCTTGATGGAAAGAATTCATTCCTCCCTCCCTTCCTCCTTCCCTCCCTCCTTCCTTTTCCTTCCCTCCCTCCTTCCCTCCTTCCCTCCCTCCCTCCCCTCCCTCCTTCCCTCCCTCCTTCCCTCCTTCCCTCCTTCCCTCCCTCCCTCCCCCTCCCTCCTTCCCTCCCTCCTCCCTCCCTCCTTCCCTCCTTCCCTCCCTCCTTCCTTTTCCTTCCCTTTCCTTCCCTCCCCCCTTCCCTCCCTCCCTCCCTTCTGTTTCTTTGACAGGGTCTTGCTCTGTCACCCAGGCTGGAGTGCAGTGGCACGTCTACCTCCTGGGCTCAAGTCATCCTCCCACCCGCCTCCCGCGTGGCTGGGACTACATGTGCACGCCAACACACCTGGCTAATTTTTGTATGTTTTGTAGAGACAGAGGTTTCGCCATGTAGCCCAGGCCGGTCTCGAACTCTTGAGCTCAAGTGATCCGCCCCTTGGCCTCCCAAAGTGCTGAGATTACAGGCGTGAGCCACCGTGCCTGCCAGATAGAACACTTTCCATATAGAAGGTTTTTTTCTTTTAACAGCTTCACTGAGAGAACGTTCACCTGGGATAAAGTGTACCTGTCAGTGGTTTACAGTATCTTTACAGAATCTAATTTTATAACATTGGCATCACCCTGAGAAGACCCTGCATCTCACAGCCACTCCCGTTCCCTCCCCTCAGCCACAGCCACCCACGAAGCTACTTGCAAGTTGCCTTTTCTGGGCATTTCATAGAAACTGGATGATGTAATAGGCAGTCTCTGGTGTCTGACTTCTTTCACTTGACATCATGTTTTCAAGGTTCGTCATCGTGTATCAGTATTTACTTCCTGTTTATGGCTGAATAGGACCCTGCTGTATGGACACGCCACATTTTATTCATCCATTCATAGCTGGTGGACATATGAGTTGTTTCCACTTTTCATTCATTGATTCATTGATTCATTCATTCATTCATTTTTCCCGAGAGGGAGTCTCACTCTGTTTGTTGCTCAGGCTGGAGTGCAGCGGCACAGTCTCGGCTCACTGCAACTTCTGCCTCCTGGGTTCAAGCGATTCTTCTGCCTCAGCCTCCCGAGTAGCTGGGATTACAGGTGCCCGCCACCACGCCTGGCTAATTTTTGTATTTTTAGTAGAGATGGGGTTTCACCTTGTTGGCCAGGCTGGTCTTGAGCTCCTGACTTCAGATGATCCACCCGCCTCGGCTTCCCAAAGTGCTGGGATTACAGGCGTGAGCCACCACACTGGGCCGTTTCCACTTTTCAAATGCTGTGAATAACGTAGCATGAACTGTTATAGGGTTTTGTGCGGGTATGTTTTTATTTCTCTTAGACACCTGGGAATGCGTGGCTGGCTCATGAGAACTCCATGTTTAAGTTTTTGAGGACCTGCTGGGCTGTTTTCCAGACAGCCTGTCGCATTCCACATTCCTGCCTGCCCAGTCCCAGGATTCCAGTTTCTCTACCTTCTTGCCAACATTTGTTATTGTCCATTAAAAAAAAAAAAAGCTCACATCCCAGTGGGTGGGAAGTGGCTCTCCTTGTTGCTTTGACTGGCATTTCTCTAAGGACCTGCCGTGTCAAGCGTCTCCTCTGGTGCTAATTGGGCCATCTGTACGTCTTCTTTGAAGAAATGTATCTTCCTGCCCTTTGCCCATTTTTCTTTTCTTTTTTTTTTTTTTTTTTTGAGATGAGATCTCACTCTGTCGCCCAGGCTGGAGTGCAGTGGTGTGATCTCAGCTCACTGCAACCTCTGCCCCCCTAGTTCAAGCAATTCTCCTGCCTCAGCCTCCCGAGTAGCTGGGATTACAGGCACACGCCATCAACCTCCTGAGTAGCTGGAATTACAGGCACCTGCCATCATGCCTGGCTAATTTTTGTATTTTTAGTAGAGCAGGGTTTCACCATGTTGGCCAGGATTGCCTCGATCTCCTGACCTCGTGATCCGCCCACCTTGGCCTCCCAAACTGCTGGGATTACAGGTGTGAGCCACTGCGCCTGGCCGTCTTTGCCCATTTTTCAGTTGGGTTATTTGTCTTTTATGTTATTGAGTTGTAAGAGTTCTTTACATAAGGATGCCAGTCTCTTACCAAATGTATGATTTGAATTGTTTTTGTCAGTCTGTGGGCTGACTTGTTATTTTCTTTATGGTGTCATTTGATGCACGAACTTTTGAACGTTTGATGACATTCAACTTATCAATCTCCTTGATCATTGTGCTTTTGGTGTCCTAGCTGAAAACCACGGCCATGATTTACACCTGTGTTCTACTAAGTGTTTTACAGCTTTCGCTTTTTGTTTGGCCTGGTGTGTGGTAAGGGTCAGTCTTCCTTGTGGCTCTCCTGTTGTCCTAGCACTATTTGTTGACAAGACTGTTCTTTCCCCAGTGAAGCCTCTTGGCATCCTTGTTGAAAATCAGTGGACCATTAACATAAGAGTTTATTTCTAGAGTGTCAGTTCAGTTCCACTGATGTCTGTCCTTGTGCCAGGACTGCACTATCTTGGTGAGTGTAGCTTTGTAGTAAGTTTTGACCATACTGTCTTGGTTGGCGTAGCCTTGTAGTAAATTTTGAAATTCGGAAGTATGAGTCCTAATTTGTTCTTTTCCAGGATTGCTTTGGCCTCTGGATCCCTTATCTTCACAATAATTTTTGGATCAGCTCATCAATTTCTCCAAAAAGGGCATCTGTGATTTTGATTGTGAACATGGGATGTGTTTTTGCTTATTTAATTCTTTATCTCAATAATGTTTTATAGTTTTCAGTAATAAGTCTTATGCTTCTTCTGTTAAATTTATTCCTAAATATTTTATTCTTTTCCAAACTGTTATAAATAGAATTGTCCTATTGATTTCATTTCGAATTGTTCATGACTGGTGTATAGAAATACATTCTTTTGTAGATTGATCTTGAACCCTGAAACCTTGCTAAACTTCTTTATTAGTTCTAATAGATTTTTAGTGGATTTGTCATATACAAGACCATGTCATCTGCGAAAAGAGACAGTTTTACTTGTTCCTTTCCAAACTGGTTGCCTTTTATTTCTTTTTCTTGCTTAAGTGCCCTGGCTAGAACCTCCAGTACAATGTTGAACAGAAGGGACAACGGGGGACATCCTTGCCTTGCTCCTGATTTTAGACAACAAGTCCACTGATCTTAGGGAATAAGTCTTTCACCATTAAGTGTGATGTTAGCTGTGGGGCTTTTGTAAATGTGCTTTATCAGGTTGAAGAAGTTCCTTCTATTCCTAGTTTCTTGAGTGTTTTTATTGTGAAGGAGTGGTAGACCGTGTCAGCTGCTTCTCCTGCACTTATTCCAATGTTCCGATGGTTTTTGCTCCTTTCGCTATTAATATGGTGCATTCCATCAATTGATCTTCGAATGTTAAACCAACTGTGTGTTCCTGGGACATGTCCCACTTGGTCTTGGTGAATAATCCCTTTTATTTGGTGCTGGATTCACTTTGCTAGCTGTTTTTTTTTGATGATTTTTGCACCTACATTCATGAAGGATATTGGTCTGTGGTTTTCTTTTCTTGTAATATGTTTGCCTAGTTTTGGTGTCAGGGTAATACTGGCCTCATACAATGGCTTAGGAAGTAGTTCCCCCTCTTATATTTTGCAAGAGTTTGTAAAAGAGTGGTTTTAATTCTTCTTTAAACATTTGGTAGAATTCACCAGTGAACTCCTCTGACTGTGGACTTTCCTTTGCGTGATGTTTTTGCCTTACTAATTCAATCTCTTATGTGTTACAGGTCTATTTATATTTTCTATTTCTTCTCCAGTCACCTTTGGTAGTTTGTGTCTTTCTAGGAATTTGTCCATTCTTCTAGATTATCTAATTTCTTAGCATATAATTTTCTCTAGGATTTCCTTTGTAAGATTAGTAGTACTATCCTCTCTTTCATTTCTGATATTAGCGATTTGAGCCTTGTCTCTTTTTTTTTCTTGATCAGTCTAGCTACAAGGTGGCAATTTTTTGTTGCTCTTTTTCAAGAACTGAGTTTGGTTTGTTGACTTCATTGTTTTTGTTTTCTTGATCTCATTTATATTCTAATCTTCATTATTTCCTTCCTTCCGCTTGCTTTTGGCTTGTCTCGGGGGAAAGCATCCAGTCTTTCCCACTGGGTATGATGTTAGCTGCAGGATTTTTGTAAATGTCCTGTCAATCACAGAGATTCTCTTTGAGTCCTGTCTTCTTGAGTGTTTCTATTGTGAAAGGGTGGTTTGCTCTTCTTTTTCTAGTTTGCTACAGTGGAAAGTTACGCTAATAATTTTCGCTCTTCTTTTTAAATATAGGAATTTATAGCCATCAGAGTGAGTTTCTATCTTAGAAAATTAGTAACGCATTCAAAATACGTTTGATTACCCAGGACTGCATTGCTCATTGTTGAACAATTTTAAAATTCAAGATAAGTATAAAGAAAGAATGTTATTCATAATTTCACCTCCCAGAGTTAACCTTTGTTAACAACTTCCTATGTTTCCTTAGAGATTTGTTTAAGGTAGAAGCTGGTTACGTATTAAACAGCCCTTACTTTCTATGCACGCAGGATGCTATTTTGCTTCACAATCACCAGTTTTCACTTGTCCATGCATTGTCTCAGCAGTGTCTTCCCTTTTCCACATCTCCCTTCTCTCCCTTCTCTTGGGGATAGTTGTTAATTTTTTTTCCTTTTCAATTCTTTTTTTTTTTTTTTTCCTGTTCTGCTCGCCTCTACGCTGGCTCTTCACCAACTACCTGTCCTGCTCAACCTCCTCATCGCCATGTTCAAGTGAGCGCGCTGGGTTGGGGGCTGGCGTGCGCGCTGCGGAGTGGTGTGGACAGCGTTCACTGGCCGCAGTGGTCAAGCTGGTTCTCCAGTGGCTTCTTGATGGACCTAGGTGTGTGGATGGCTGGTGCACAGAGGCGCTCACTGATACGGCTGGGTGGGAGGCGTGGCAAGGCCACTGGTCGGTGTCACTGCTGCGGTCTGTTTGAGCTGGGCGTGGGTCTGTCCCTGTGGCTGCTGGAGACCCGCGGGTGCTGGGAATGGAGTCCAAATTAGGCCCTGCGGGCTCATGGCACAGGTGTTCCTGGAGGAGCTTCCTCTGCGCGCAGGGATGTTGGTGTCGGCTTCATTCCTTTTGCACAGGCGCATCAGATATCCATGAGCTCATGCCTACCATGGGGGTCGTGCCGGGCGTGCGTGACTCAGTGCTGTCCCCTCATCACTCGGTAGTGCTCTGCCTGTGTGTCCCTGTGGACTGAGCAAAGGGTCTCACTGCACGATGTGCAGGAAGCCAGGGACCTATGACACCAGGTTTTTTTTTTTTTTTTTTTTTTGGACGGAGAGTTCTCGCTCTGCCGCCCAGGCTTGTGTGCATGGTGGGGATCTCAGCTCACTTGCAAGCGTCCGCTTGGGGTTTCACGCACTTCTCCTGCCTTAACCAGCTTCCGGAGTGCTGGGGAACTACAGGCGCCCGCACTCGCACCGGCTAGTTTTTTGTATTTTTAGTAGAGACGGGGTTTTCATCGTGTTAGGGCCAGGATGGGTCTCGACTTCCTGACTGTCGTGATCCACCTGTCTCAGCCTCGCCAAAGTGCTGGGATTACAGGTGAGCCGAGCCGCGGCCGGTGGCTCGACACCAGGTTTTTGAGAAAATTGAAACCGCATGTTTTCTTTCTGGGCCAATCCACAGGGAGACGTGCAGTTCACGGTCTGTCCCTCCGCGGGCA